GCCGGAGGCGAGTGCACTATGTGTCAAACCCTGCCTACTATTTAGGCATAGTACATGCATAATGCAACACTATTGTTATTATTATGCTGACTGTTGTTATTATTTATGCGGCAATCCATTTGATTTTTTCCTGAAAATAATGGTGGTAACACAGCGCACTTGCAAAAACTCATTCAAAATCTTCATGCTAGAATTAGTTGCATGCTTAGTTATTTTGGTTACTAGTATTTTCTCTAAATAAGTAAGAATGTTCTGTCACAAAGATACTCATCTTTATTTTCTGTTTTGTTAGTAAGACTGATTTGTTTACAGACGTGGATTCTCATTGATAATTTTCTTTTACATCCTTCAATCAAGCGCTATATAAAAAAGCGTTTAAATGACCCCATGATATCAATTCATCTAATGATCTGTATATAATTAGTTTGAAACTTTGTTGTACACATTTTTCTCAGATTCCTTAGAATAAATATAACTGTTTTCAAATAATATTTGTCTATTTTCTCCTTCTTGTGTCAATTGTATAAATTAAGTTTATATATTTAATAAAATTTTCCTAATCAGTGATCGTCTCTGTGGCGTAATCGATAAGGCATCGGACTGGCATCCTCACGGTCATGAGTTCGATACCCGTTGTGTGTAATGAAGAATTTTCTTCAAAAAGTAAAGCCGTGCTCTATTTCGGCATAGTATGCTTACGCTATATAAATCCTTAGACCACTATGCGAGAATAGCAGGGTATGGGCTATATAGAGACAAACTGACAGGAAGCATAATAATATAAAATAGAGCATAATATATTTTATAATTTCCCACTACAATTTATATATATATGTTTTTGACAGCTGTGAGATTTATGCTAATTCAATGATTGTTTGACATTTCTGTTTTTTTTGTTTTATTTAAAAAAGGCTGTTGAGTCATATTTCTTGTCACTTCATTTTATTAGGTCACCTGATTAAACTCAGGTGACCTATTGCTATCTGTTTTCGTCCGTCGTCGTGCGTCGTGCGTTGTGCGTTAACATTTGAACATTTTCAGCTTCTTCTCTGCAACCACTGAACCAATTTCAACCAAATTTGGCCCAAAGCATCTATGGGTGAAGGTGAACAAAAATTGTGAATTTCATGATCCCTGCCTCCCTGGGGCCTGAGGGGTGGGGCCAAAACCACTAAAATTAATGCAATCTTTAAAAATCTTCTCCTTTACTCCTGGACATCAAGCAGTCAAACTGTTGGCATGATTGTAATCAGCAATGAGTCCTCTAATAAAATTGTGAAATTCATGGCCCTGGGGTCAGGGGTTCTAGTGCTAGGGCGGGGCTAAATAAGTAGGTAGTGAAAATGCATTATTTCTTTGAAAATCTTCTTCTCTGCTCCTGGGTATTAAATAAACCAACTAAGCACATAGTTATGATGAGCAAGAGTGCCACTACCAAAATTGTGAATTTTATGGCCCCAGGGTCAGGGGTTCTGGTGTTAGGGCGGGGCTCTATTGATTATATAATGAAAATACATGAATTCTTTGAAAATCTTCTTCTCTGCTCCTGGGTATTAAATAAACTAAGTACATAGTTATGATGAGCAAGAGTGCCTCTACCAAAATTGTGAATTTTAAGGCCCCAGGGTCAGGGGTTTTAGTGTTAGGGCGGGGCTCTATAGATTATATAGTGAAAATACATGAATTCTCTGAAAATCTTCTTCTCTGCTCCTGGGTATTAAATAAACTAACTAAGTGCATAGTTATAATGAGCAAGAGTGCCTCTGCCAAAATAATGAATTTTATGGCCCCAGGGTCACGGGTTCTGGTGTTAGTGTGGGACATATTGATTATATAGTGAAAATACATGAATTCTTTGAAAATCTTCTTTTCTGCTCCTGGGTATTAAATAAACTAACTAAGTGCATAGTTATGATGAACAAGAGCGCCTCTGCCAAAATAATGAATTTTATGGCCCCAGGGTCACGGGTTCTGGTGTTAGGGTGGGACGTATTGATTATATAGTGAAAATACATGAATTCTTTGAAAATCTTCTTCTCTGCTCCTAGGAATTAAATCAACTAGCTAAGTACATAGTTATAATGAGCAAGAATGCCTCTTCCAAAATTGTGAATTTTATAGCCCCAGGGTCAGGGGTTCTAGTGTTAGGGCGGGGCTCTATTGATTATATAGTGAAAATACATTAAATCTTTGAAAATTTTCTTCTCTGCTCCAGGGTATTAAGCAGATGAACTACCTATATAGTTATGCTGGACAAGGGCCCATATCTTCCAGAATTGTGAATTTCAAGGCCCCAGGGTCAGGGGTACCATAGAAGGGGGGGGACTGTACTTATATACTGAAAATGACTGAATGGTTTGAAATCTGCTCCTTGGTATTAATCAAATATCAAGGCCTAAGGGTCAGGGGTTCATGTGTGGTAGGGGCACTACTGATTATTGCTGAATATTACTGATTAGTTGAAATGCATTTTTTGTTCCCTTACCCTGCATATGGGTATTAAGTAAACAAACTAAGCAACTGCTAAGTGTATTGTTATGATGATCAATGGTGCCTCTTTCAAAATTGTGAATGCCATAGCATCTGGCTTAAAACATGAATCAAATTCAATCACTGGAAAGTTGTTGCATAATGCTCAGGTGACCTATAAGGCCCATGGGCCTCTTGTTTCCTATAGACAACTTTACTTAGACACATATCAATGGGAAAGCTCATGCTGTGGTTTACTTTTTAAAAAAATTATAGCGACGTCATCTTAATGTTGTTATACCTGTTTGGATGTTTGCTCTCTAATGATTTGATTGTGACCACTTTCCACTTATTCCCATCTTCAGTTTCCACACATAGGATTTTAAAGTATTCTCCTGCATCAAATGTCTGTTTCAAAAAGATATGTAAGGATAAGTATTTAAATAAACAGTATACGATATCACATCTTAGAAGACTCCCAGTGTGACTGAGGCACTTATAATATTGTATTCATTGAGTTTTAATTAGCTACTTTATCATGTTTACATTATCAATGTAACCAGTAACTATTACAGATTTCACTTTCAGTCTACCGTATATACTCGCCTGTAAGTCGGTCCGCCTATAAGTCGGTTGTATTTAATAAGCTTATAGGGCTGGGCAATAATATCGATATTTCAATATATTGCAATACAATGACAAAAAATATCGTATCGCAATACGATTTTGTAATATCGATATATTGGCAATATGCTTAGATTAAGGAATTTTGTCATTAAATATAAAATTGGACTTATGAATGTTTGTTATTAAGCCAAACATTAAGACAGAAGTTGTTTTGTGGGAGCATTTCAGAGCATAACTTAAAGAAATCAACAAGATTTTTTTTCCCGTGTAGGTTATTTATCTTGGTTATGTACATTCTGCGTGTAAATTAAAGTAAATATAGTGAAAAAATGCCATTTTTATTACGTTGAAAATATTGCAATACATATCGCAATACAGTTCAAAATATCGCAATATATCGCAATACGAAATCTCCGGCCAATACCCAGCCCTATAAGCTTATATATCAGAGGGACTGACTTCATATAATACCATTAATTTTATAGCTCACCTATAAGTCGGACATAGAGTTTTGGACCAGAGATTATAACTCCCAAAAATCCAACTTATAGGCGAGTATATACGGTAGTTCAACTACAGGGTGGTCCTTAAGTCCCGGGGGCCAGGATTTCTTGCTTAATATTATAATGACATAAATCCTCCTGTCCATTTATTCTAGTATTACACTATGTTAAGGGAAGAACCCTAAACCTCCTTTTACACTTTTATAAAAAAATACTCCCACTGTTTTAATTCTAAGGGACAACCCTGAACTATTCACTTTTGTGTACATGTATTCATTATGTTGATGCTAATTAAGATTATGAAACTACACGTTTTACATATGAAGAAGCTCTATGGCAAGTGGATATCAGGCTAACAGCTCAGTGGTTAGAGCACCTGACTAATATGTAGTAATGTAGAGGCCCAGATCTAATTCCCAGATAAACCAAATATTTTCATTTGGTGCTGTGACCCTGATTTTAGACTCTGATGATTTGGGTTATGTGGAAACCCCCATCCTCTCTCCACACATGAACACATAATAAAGACTTGCAGTTGAAAGTCCTATCAGGGACTAAAGAATCCAGAATGTCTACAAAAATCAAGGACGATGATCATTCAAAAGGGGAATGTAGTGGTTTGAGCCATATGGATCATATATATCAGCCTCGGTAGCTCAGTGATTTGAGAATTTAACTTAAAATACCGGGGTCCTGTGTTCACTTCCAGGTCTAGCAATAAAATATAAATGTCTTCTTTCCTCTTATACATGTAAGCGTAAACATCAAGAGAGTGCTAGGACATTCAATTTACTCAAGTACATTGTAACCCAAGAACAAGTAAACCTGGTGGACTGATGATCGACACTAACTAAAGAAAAACTTTTGGGTCTACCATCATAAATCATAGTTGTCTTGGGTCTCAGTCTGGGGGTGTTCTCAATTTTATGACAGCAATTTTGAGAATAGTGTTAGCTGTCAACTAAGTATTTCTGAAGAGTTAAATGGAGATTTTTTTTATTCTCAAAGTTTGTGACAATGGACCCATTGTGAAATTTTTATACCATACATACAAGAAAATATTTACAACATGTACATGTCATGATGAGCACTGACATTGCATACTGGCATGTAGCCATGTACAATACTGCAATATAAAGAATGTCTACCTCTTTGCTCAGTTTTTCGAAAAGTTTCGGCCAATAGTAATCTGGAACTCCGGAAGCAATCAGCTGAGTTCCATGAGATTCTACAAATTGATGATATTCATTAGGTTGCTGGTCTGATTCTTTAACCTCTTCATCTTTCGTGAGATGAGGCATGGTTTTGTTGACGGAAATGGAATTCTCCAGAATGGGGAGGAACAAAAGTGAAAGTAGCTTTCGGTACACATTCGGAGTTATCACACTCTTTCAATATAGATATCCGAAGTATTCGATGGTTTGTTGTGTTCAGACGCGTTTTTCAATGAATCTGTGAAAAGTGAATTATTCAGTAGAAAACATGCCACTAGGCATAGACAGAACACACTTTTATGCAGAAAAGGTTAAAAGACAAGAGAAAGAAATACATGTAAGTTGGAAAGCATTAGATATGGGTATATTCAACCCGATAAATGCAGGGAAAATTCAAAATACAACACAAAACACAGGAATTCACAGACATTAAGTATTGACATAATAAAATCATATAGACTAATGTTTTATCGAATCAGGATTTGGAAATGTTAAAAGTTTGTGTATTTAGTATTATGATACCCCCTCCGTCCGAAAAAAGCAACAAAATTTGAAGGGAAAAAAACGTAAGCCGTTAAGCAGGTCCAGTACAATCAGTACATTTAGCTACGTAGGTAGAATTACCTACGTAGCTTTATTTACCTACCTCAGGTAGCTTGATTTAGCTATTTCAATGTAAGTTTTCTTTTTATGGAAAAGAGACAAAAAATCGCAGTTAAATGACTATTGATATTTATACTAGGGAGACTTTAAAAAACATTCCAAAGCAGAGATAGTTTAAACATCGCTGTGTTTGGTCAATTTAGAGCAAAACATATAATCCATTGTTTGGTTAGCTGTCCGTGCGGTGAGGCATGACTGAGTATGATTACTTCACATTGTGCTGAATAATTACTGACCTATTATCGTGTTAAACAGAACTGGATTTCTTTGTCATTTCATTCAAGGAGTAACTGCTCTAACTGTCATACATAGCCCCAAAACTTTGATTTCAATTGCGCAGAAAAAGACATTTCTTCAAGAGGGAATTTTTCATGAATTGTTTTCAGATGAGTTCAAAGTTGAAAATGATCACTGCATCAAAATGATAGTTTTTGCACATCCTGAGAAAATTGCTTTTTTATAGAAATAAATTCATTTGGTAGCTAAATCAAGCTACCTGAGGTAGGTAAATAAAGCTACGTAGGTAATTCTACCTACGTAGCTAAATGTACTGATTGTACTGGACCTGTTAAGTACAAGTACTTTATCCTTTTCTAGGCAAAAGATGAGAGAGTTGCCCAGCTTGAAACTGAAAATGCAATGTTGTATCTCAAACTTGCTCAACTACATGGCACAGTGCAAAGTGTCAGACAAGAAAACTCCTCACTCAATGGCCAGGTGGAGTCGGAGCAGCAGTTCCGTAGTGACGTATCAGGGACAGCAATTAAGTTACACAGAGAGTTAGAGGTATACCTCAAATTACTTTATAATAAACAATCAATAAATTGAATGAAAAGTGTACTTCAAAGACATATTGTTATATAGATCTGTCTCTGCTCCCTCTCTTTCTCTTTCTTTACATGTTCTTTTAGAATATACTTACAGGTACTATTTCAGCATAATTTTATCAGTATCAGTTTTCAACACTTTTCTTTTGAATATTATTCAAATACTATCAAGATTCCTTGAAAGTCTTTCTCACATGATACTACTTGGATTTAGAAAAAAATTGTATTTTATTTTTAGACCATTAGAAATGATCTCAGATCACTCCAGTCCATTGCCATAGATATACCTGAGGAGTTTCAGAAGTACACCACTCAGGCCAACAAAGTAGTCCAGCGCCACAGGCAGGTGTTTCAATCCCAGAATTCCAGCATGACCTCTCTCCAGTCGCAGGTGACCAATATGGAGCTGGCTCTACAGGAGATCACGGAGCGGCACGCCAAGGAGAAGAAACGGAGACAGGAGCTTCACAATATCCTCATGGTCAGTCTAAAATTAAGGGAACTCACCAACGACATTAAATTTACCAAAGACTGAGTTGTCTCCCTGTAAATGTGAACCAAAAAGTCAAATACAGTGGATAACAAGTCATTTTGAGATTGGTTGCAAATTTATATTTTGGTTTATATACAGTAGCTTGATGGTGGAGAATGAGAATATGGATTCAAGATTGTTTTATGTTTTCTCAGGAGTTGAGAGGAAATATCCGAGTTCACTGTAGAATTCGCCCACTGATGGAGTTTGACTGCGGGAATGAGGATTCTGGATCTCTAGGAAAGTAAGATTTCTGAATGATTTATTGCTTTTTTATGAAGAAAAAACAGTTTACTTTCAGACTTTAAAAGATTTTGGAATGATGTCAATGTCATACTGAAACACTTGCCTTTTATTACAACATATACATTTCATAGCAAAAAAATTTCATTCCATCAGATATAATTTTTTAGGGGTAGCCTCCTTTGAAATCACAATATGTATACTATTGATTATGGAAAGTCTAGACCTATAAGTATCAGCTGTAAGTTTTTTTAAAATGTATTATCAAAATTTTGTTTATGAATATCTTTGCAGGCCAGGCACTCGCTCAGAAGTGGTGGTGCATTTTGTTGATGATGTAAGTGTGACTCAGAAAGAATATTCAAGATTGTCTTTAATTATAATTAACAGAGAAATTAGTATAACAAAAAAGGTAACTGTTTATGTATTTTCATGCGTGAAAAAATATGTGTTACACTGTTCAGGTGTTTGGACAAAATTCTCTTCCAATTTCAGGAGAATGTTTGCTGTCGTACAGCAAAACACAACAAAGTTTTTGAATATGAGAGGTAAGTCTTCACTAAGAATAATTTTTTTTAATTTATATTTATCATATATCACATTGACTTTTAAATCTTATTTTACAGAGTGTTTAGCCCTACAGAGTCCCAGAATGATATCTTTGAAGAAGTTCAGCCGATGTTAACTTCCCTGTTGGATGGGTAAGCTTAACGGTCATTGGATATTGCATAAAGCATATTTGTATTACATGTATGACACATGTATTTTGAAAAGGTACAATATTTGTATTATGGCCTATGTATTTTGGAAAGGTACAATATTTGTATTATGGCCTATGTATTTTGAACAGGTACAAAATTTGTATTACCAGGGTATGGTACATGTATATTGGACAGGTACATATTTATATTATGGTACATGTATTTTGGACAGGTACAATATTTGAATTATGGTACATGTATTTTGGACAGGTACAATATTTGTATTATGGCCTATGGACAGACAGGGAGTGGTAAGACACATACCATGCTGGGGAGTCATAAAAACGAAGATTACAACCCCTCTAGGGATCCCCACAGAGATGAAGGGGTCATACCACGGGCAGCAAGAGAACTCTTTAGGTAGTGGTTTATAATTGTATCCGTAACAAGTCTTTAATGAGGATTGAAATTTATAATCATAAATGAACTTTATCTAAGGTAATGAAAATAACACATTAAGTTGATTTCTTTCATGGAAGGTTAATATCAGAGAAACAATCAGCCACACACAAGATAGAGGTGTCTGTGCTGGAGATATACAACAACGAGATCAGGGATCTTCTCAGTAATGACCCCAGTATCAAACATGACATCAACACAAGTACTGATGGCACAGTCAGTGTACCCACACTGTCCTCAAAGTAAGTATTATATCAGCTAGGCAGTCAACCTTCCTACACTGTCCTCAAAGTAAGTATTGTATCAACCAGGCAGTCAGTGTTTCTACACTGTCCTCAAAGTAAGGAAGCTTTTATCAGATAGGCAGTTTTAGTAATTAAGTACTGATGGTACAGTCAATGTTTCTATGCTGTTGTCAAAGTAAGAAGTTTATATCAGCTAGACAGTCATATTTCATTTTAAGCCTGCTACAACTAACATATATACATGTACATTTACTAATTACAGACAGGTGGACACTGTTTATGATGTCATGTGTCTTGTTCAACATGGCCTCAGAACCAGGAGAGAATCGGCAACCATGGTACATGAACACTCGAGTCGTTCTCACCTTGTGGTGACCTTGACCGTTATTTCCCAGGCTCCAAGCTTCTTCTCCAAGACTTCTTCAGGATCTTCTCAAGATTGTATGTATTCTGTTCTATTGTCATTTTTTCAGTGTGTTGTATTTATATTGCTAATGTGATTGTGTTTACTATAGACATGCATATTTATTCACATGAAAATGATGTATTTTTCAATCATATTTCTTAAACATGCAGTGTAATTAAGAAATAAGGTATCATTTTTAAATATCTGTCGGGATATAAATAGGAGCCTGATACAACTAACAATAAGATTTACTAAAGCCAGAAGGGCAGTTTATGATGAATTTATGTGTCTTGTTCAACATAGCCCGATAGATGTTTTAGAATGTTACCTTATTACTTATATTTACATTTGTGACTTATTCATACGTTATATTTACCTGATTGTGTGTGACTTTTAACGTTTGAAATGCATTATTTTTCAAACCCAGCGGCATGTATGTAATCCACTGAACGCGCGTTGACCCATTATGACATCACAGAGAAATTTTTTTCTGTGTACGTTTATATTGCACGCCTATGACCTCTTGACCCTGTACCTGTATTTATACAGTTATAGATATGCATTGCTTTCAGTGGCGTTATATAAAGGAAAACATTTGCAAATGTAAATATAAGTTATATAGTGTGAAAAATAATATATATACATATATTCATTGTATACTATGGTTTCATTAATTTTTGTATGCATGGGGATGTTATTGGTTGTGATAAAAAGGTACAATTCTTTTGTTATATAGCTACTTTTAAGCTTGAGTATTTCATAGATACCAAATTACAAAAAAAATTTCTTTCCATTTTTTTCGTAAAAAATAAAACTTTGATTTTAAATACAATTACATGAATAAAGTTTCCTTTTTGATCTCTCGAAATAGGTCTGCAAATGATTTAAAGAGTATTCAGTACATATTAAAATCTATTTGATTTTCATTTTGTCTGTGAATTCTTGCATTTTTTACTTTATTAGTGAGTTCACCTAGGTCACCAAATTCACCAAGGTCGACAAAACATTTCAAGGATTTCTTCAATAATATTCCTTCTAATCTCAAAATTAGTAAGTTTGTTGTCCCAAAGACAAAAACCTGTTTGTTTACCAATAAGTCTACTCTGGTTGGTTTAGTTCAGTGTTCCTTTACAGTTTTGTTTTCAGATCTTTTTTCCTGAATCTTTTGGTTGTGTTACCTCATTGAATTTATTTTCAGTCTTGGTGTTCTTTTTTCATCCATTGGCTTTTGCCATGTTAACTCAGAGACAAATACATGTATGTCTCTGGTTAACTTTAGAGAAGTTCAGCATTTACCAAACAAAGCTTTGCAATCGTGAAGGAAAAGATATATGGAAAAACAGAAAGGCATTTAAAACACAGGATATATTTATAACAGTAGCATTCAATTTGATTCAAATTTCATTTATTGGTAGAATTAAAATATTAATGTAACCATATTAACAGGTTTTTAACTGACTTTGTCTATAGCGACTCAATCTGGTTTTACATCTGGTTGTACATGTACATCTATTTGCACTACAAAATATTATAATCGTATTTTATGCATTTTTTAAAAAATGAATAATTAGTGAAATATATGTATTTTTTTAGAATAAAATGTTTTGATTTCCCTTTTGAGTAAAATTTTCAGCTTTTAAGAAAAACTTTTAACCTTTTTCAGAAAAAGTGCATTTAATTATTTATGTAAATTCTTCAATATTTAAATAGTAAATAAAAAACCCAAAGATTAAAGAATTAAAAATTCCAACAAACAAAAATTACCATTGTAAGTGAATAGAGACATTTATTAATATTGTATCATTGGTACCTTTTACCTTTCAGTTTTTATATGAAATAACAACAATAAAAATCATTTTGATACATGTATCAAATGTTTCCTTTTTCTATCTCTCACAAATATACCCGTGGAGTGGGTGTGATTTTTGGTACTATACACCTCTTTTAAAAATCCAATTAAACATTTTACTAACTAAAGTTAGAAGTTTTCTTATTCCATATGTGCACATTATACAGTTTTAGAAGAAATTATTTAACTGCTAAGCTGTCAAAACAAAATATTTTTTCAAAGTTTCTCATTAATGGATAGGTAAATTTTGATATATATGAAGTCTATATATATATAGTAAAAACTGTTACAGTTGCTTAATGTGGGATTAAAAGGATTGTATTTTTCTTGCATTTCTATTTATCTGTTTGTTTCTTTTTTGACATATATTTAAAGTACTTTCCCCTTATATATATATGCATATATTTGACTATATCTCTGTTGAAAAACCAATCAAGTTAATCTGGATTTAGATGTACCATAAACAGTAAAGAATAATCACTCTTGTCTTTGAATTTTTCAGTACAGCGTGATATAAGAGGGCGATCCTATTCCACGTCCTCTGCCCCTAACCTTGGTAACCTGTCCAACACCTGGTCTGGTGCTGACCAATCAGCAGCCTCTGTCCCAGGGATGGGAGCCGTGATCCGCACTAAGCTTCAGCTTGTCGACTTAGCTGGAAGTGAATGTGTGGGTAAGGAAATATCCTATTATATTAAGAACAGCAGTTGGATTTGGAAATCTTTATTTTTGATTTTTACGGAGTGTGTTAAGATTTGCTAAATTTCCACATTGCTTAAAATTTATTCCGCATTATAAGTTATCTTTATTTATCTATGCACTATAAAATTTCTAAAATGGCTTCTCACTAAAATTTAATCCTGATTTTTAAGGACAAATTGCTAAATTTGAGTCTTGCTAAAATTAAATATTTCACCGATATTGATAACTCTATATTTTTGTTTTCTGTATGTAGATAAGGAGACCTAAGTACATATTGACAATCTAACTTGTATAATTGCATTGTAAATGTATTTCTATCCTTTCTGTAAGGTATGAGTGGAGTGAAGGGTGCTGCTCTCAGGGAAGCGTCCAACATCAACAAGAGTTTATCAGCCCTTGCTGATGTCCTGGGAGCCCTGGCAGAACACAGATCTCATGTTCCCTACAGGAATACCAGGCTTACCCATCTCCTGCAGGACTCTATTGGTAAGTCACACTATCACCAATACAGATCTCATGTTCCCTACAGGAATACCAGGCTAACCCATCTCCTGCAGGACTCTTGGTAAGTCACACTATCAGCAATACAGATCTCATGTTCCCTACAGGAATACCAGGCTAACCCATCTCCTGCAGGACTCTATTGGTAAGATACTATATCACCAATACAGATCTCATGTTCCCTACAGGAATACCAGGCTAACCCATCTCCTGCAGGACTCTATTGGTAAGATACTATATCACCAATACAGATCTCATGTTCCCTACAGGAATACCAGGCTAACCCATCTCCTGCAGGACTCTATTGGTAAGATACTATATCACCAATACAGATCTCATGTTCCCTACAGGAATACCAGGCTTACCCATCTCCTGCAGGACTCTTGGTAAGTCACACTATCAGCAATACAGATCTCATGTTCCCTACAGGAATACCAGGCTAACCCATCTCCTGCAGGACTCTATTGGTAAGATACTATATCACCAATACAGATCTCATGTTCCCTACAGGAATACCAGGCTAACCCATCTCCTGCAGGACTCTATTGGTAAGATACTATATCACCAATACAGATCTCATGTTCCCTACAGGAATACCAGGCTAACCCATCTCCTGCAGGACTCTATTGGTAAGATACTATATCAACAATACAGATCTCAAGTTCCCTACAGGAATAACAGGCTTACCCATCTCCTGCAGGACTCTTGGTAAGTCACACTATCACAACACAGATCTCATGTTCCCTACAGGAATATAACCCATCTCCTGCAGGACTCTTGGTAAGTCACACTATCATCAACACAGATCTCATGTTCCCTACAGGAATACCAGGCTAACCCATCTCCTACAGGACTCTATTGGTAAGTCACACTATCATCAACACAGATCTCATGTTCCCTACAGGAATACCAGGCTAACCCATCTCCTGCAGGACTCTATTGGTAAGATACTATATCACCAATACAGATCTCATGTTCCCTACAGGAATACCAGGCTAACCCATCTCCTGCAGGACTCTGTTGGTAAGATACTATATCACCAATACAGATCTCATGTTCCCTACAGGAATACCAGGCTAACCCATCTCCTGCAGGACTCTATTGGTAAGATACTATATCACCAATACAGATCTCATGTTCCCTACAGGAATACCAGGCTTACCCATCTCCTGCAGGACTCTTGGTAAGTCACACTATCAGCAATACAGATCTCATGTTCCCTACAGGAATACCAGGCTAACCCATCTCCTGCAGGACACATTGGTAAGATACTATATCACCAATACAGATCTCATGTTCCCTACAGGAATACCAGGCTAACCCATCTCCTGCAGGACTCTATTGGTAAGATACTATATCACCAATACAGATCTCATGTTCCCTACAGGAATACCAGGCTAACCCATCTCCTGCAGGACTCTATTGGTAAGATACTATATCACCAATACAGATCTCATGTTCCCTACAGGAATACCAGGCTTACCCATCTCCTGCAGGACTCTTGGTAAGTCACACTATCATCAACACAGATCTCATGTTCCCTACAGGAATAGCAGGCTAACCCATCTCCTGCAGGACTCTTGGTAAGTCACACTATCATCAACACAGATCTCATGTTCCCTACAGGAATACCAGGCTAACCCATCTCCTACAGGACTCTATTGGTAAGTCACACTATCATCAACACAGATCTCATGTTCCCTACAGGAATACCAGGCTAACCCATCTCCTACAGGACTCTATTGGTAAGTCACACTATCACCAATGCATGGGACTCCGTTGTTAAGTCACTCTATCACCAATACACAGGACTCCATTGTTAAGTCACTCTATCACCAATACACAGGACTCCATTGTTAAGTCACTCTATCACCAATACACAGGACTCCGTTGTTAAGTCACTCTATCACCAATACACAGGACTTCATTGTTAAGTCACCCTATCACCAATACACAGGACTCAATCGGTAGGTCATTCATCACCAAAACACAAGACCCCCTTGTTAGGTCACTCTATCAAAGATACACAGGACATCATTGGTAAGTCATATTATCACCAATACACAGGGCTCTATTGATAAGTCATTCTATCACCAATACACAGGGCTCCATTGGTAAGTCATTCTTTTCAAATACCATGGATTCCATTAGCAAGTCTATCACCAATGCACAGGACTCTTAAGTATGAGTCATTCTATCTTCAACACACAAGACTCTTATCTCAAATATACAAGATTCTATTTGTGAGTTATTCTGTCTGACAGCAATATACAAGATTCTGTTGGTGAGTTATTCTATCACCAATACAATAAAAAATGATGAGTCATTCTATTTTCACTACACTTGAATCATTGATAAGTTATTCTATTCTATAACAAATACATAAGACTCATAAGTCATTCATCACCAATAATAAGACTCATTGGTTAGTCATTCATCACCAATACATCAATATTCCAATGGCAAGTCATTTTATTGCCAATAAAAATACTCTATTGGTAAAGCATTCTATATGTATCACCAATACACAAACATTTTTACTCTATTGTTAAGTTCTACATGTATCACCAATACACAATACTTCAACAGTAAGTCATTCTATCACCAACACACTTTTGAAATTATCTGGATCATTTGTGGATATAATTTCGACATTACACGAATAGTGGTAGTGAGATTTTTCTTTTCCATCAATAAATAAAATTTCCGTTTTGGTATCATATATGAAAAACTTTGCAAATGTCTTCAAAGGACTTGCTGAACTATTTTTCAGGTGGAGATGCCAAGCTGCTGGTACTTTTATGTGTCTCCCCAGCCCAGAGGTACATCACAGAATCTCTACAGTGCCTGGGATTTGGAACGCGAGCTCGCCAAGTCCAGCGTGGTCCAACAAAGCGACGTCTACCGTCCTCTGCTGAGAAAGTGGACTCCTCAAGTGTTCGCCCCAGATCTGCCTCCACTGCCACTGGTCCTAGTTTTATTCCAAAACCAACCTGAACTGACTAGTTTTACTCTACACCTAACCTGAAAGAAGTGATCAATTTGATACAAAACCAGTCCAATCCGTCCATGGCAATTTTACTCCATACACATATTTTTCATCTTAAACTTTCCACAAGATCTTTGCCAAGCATTTACATGCTTTATTATCTGCAGATCAAGTTTTTTTCTGTGATATTTTTATATGTGATATCATAGTGACATTGCGTCATACATATATTGATTATATTCAATTACATGTAGTAGTACATGTAGTACCATGTAAATGGTTCCTCAAATCCAAGCACCGGTAGTCAATTTAGATTGTTATTATTTGTTTGTACATGTGATGACTGTAGCATATACTGTATATGTTTTTGTACTTCAACGTCAGTATTCCCAGTGTTTTTCCTGTACAGCACTTTCTAGTAATGTCAAAATCTACCACAGATCATAAAAGAATTTGAACCATATTGTAGGTTATAAATTCTTCAGTGTGTAAATAAGTGTTGGTCCCAGTCTTTGTATATTAAGTGCGTTGTTTGTTTTGGCAGTGAATGTTAACATTTTCATGATTGTTTAAAGAAAAAAATAAACTAGGAAACTCTTTTCAAATCTTTTATTTTTGCTTAAATCTGAAAACAATACAAATTTGAGATACAAAATTTTAAGACTGTTGCTTCAGAGATGATCAACATTGTAGCATTTCTGCAGAAACTAGACAAAATAAGGTACCGTATATACTTGCCTATAAGTCAGTCCGCCTATAAGTCGGTTGTATTTAATAAGCTTGTATACCAGATGGACTGACATCATATAAAACCATACTTTTAATAGCTCGCCTATAAGTCGGACAGAGAGTTTTAGACCAGAGATTAACTCCCAAAAAACCGACTTATAGGCGAGTATATACAGTAATATCCTTTAAAAGGTGTGGGTTTGGGGAGTGTGTATAAATTTTGTAAATAATACAGATGTCTTATCATGTAAAAAAAAAACATATATATATAGCATGGCAATTACAGGCATCAACAAAAAACATTCAGATCTTTATCAATTTCCAGTTTGCATATATAATATAGAAAAAAACATTTTAAAATGTAATTTTTCAAAATCGAAGTTGTACAGTATCACATGTTTTCAAGGGTGAAATACCAGAATATTTGTTTTTTGATATTATTTGACTAGCTTACACCTGAACATTAGTTTTCCCCCCATCATAACTGAACATGTCCAATCCCATAATTAAGTCACATGAGGTAACATGTTTCTTCACAGAATCAGGCTGTGAAATTTTGATCATTAACAGCTATAAATTTTACATTATTAATTACAATGTATCAGCTCTTTAGATCTTTTCTGATAAGATTTATTATAGGTTTGTAGACCAGGGTGGCTGCATCCACACCCCAAATAAAATCCAGGTGATTCCAAGATTTCATTTCATAGCTGCCTTTTAAGTTGACTATTTTATGCTGTAATGCTGCTACATCCTGGAAGAAAAAATGAGAAGGAAATAATTTTGTTGTGAATATTTCCTGGTACATGTAGGATGAATTATCTAATATATACATTGTTTATGAAGTACCTATAAAGTGCTGTTAACTAGCTAAAGAGTACAGTTGAACTTCCTTATCTCGAAACACTGCTATCTCAATATGTTGAAGTGATCTGGATTCTGGAAGTTTAATACACTTATTCCTCAAGTATTTACCCCGATATGTAGAATCTATGAATATCTGGAAATTTTTTTTCTCAGTCCCAGTTGAAGTTGATCAGATTTAACCATTTTTTTAACAATCTGAAGATTTCATTTGTGACTGAGTACAAATTAAAAGGTAAAACAAGCATGCCATTGGTTGATACCTTAGGATCGGCCAGCCAATCATGATCAGCCCAGTACAACACAGTGGGAGTGGCCATTGTAGATACATTATACAGGGGAGGTGTGTCCTGAAAGTAAGGGCAATCACAAATTATCTCAAATTTAGCACAAATTATCTCAAATTTAGCACATAAATTATCTCAAATTTATTTCTTTTCTTCATGTTGCATTGTACTTATATGTGAGCTTCAGCTAATAACATTTACAATTATCCTGCATAATTATATAGGTCTCACCCCCCATACCTATGCCAAGAATTAGCTCTGGAATTGAGCAAAATGATTAAGAAAATGTCCAATTTTATTAACATAGATATCTAAAAATACAAACCTGATGATAATGAATCTTGTTTTTCTCTGGTGATCCCCAGTCATAAGCCTGGAAACGCCCACTTCTGGACATCTATGAATGTTCATAATTATAGGATTCAGAACAACAAGCATGAATCAAATTAGTTTTAAAAGAGTAAGCAGATAGCAGGATTCAAAATAACTCTGAAGGAGATTATTTACCTGGGCAAAGTGGACCATGTCTTGCATAGAAGTCCCAGCAGGGGCATGTGATACATACACTGGAAGACGAGTCTGAAAAAAATTAATAATAAATTTTTTTTGGCAACAGAGCAAAGAAATTACATTTAACTACTGGATACTCAAAACCAATTACAGTCAAACTTCGTTATCTTGAACCTGATGGGACTGAGAAAAAACTTCGAGATATCCAGGGATTCGAGATATCGAGGGTGAAATACTTAAAGAATATGTGGTTGGAACTTCCAAATCACTTTGTCATATCCATGGTATTCGAGACATTGGGGTTCCAGATACCGAAGTTCAACTGTATAATGTGTAAACACTATTCCTATTTGATATATCCATCAATGACTACCAGGTTTATTATACTATGTCTGAGGAGACATACAGAAATTCACTTATTATGTGTTAAAATGACTCACACCAAAATTCACAGTATTCAATATCCAACATTGAAAATAGATCAATGAAGATAATACATGAATTATCAGAAGTTTACCACATTGAGGTTGCTAGTGTCGTATCCTGCCAGCAGGAAAATGACGTTGGTACAGATGATGCTCGTAATTTTCTCCTTACAAATCGTACTCCCCAGCACCTTGAATATCCAATCACTGGGCAGGAAATCCCTCCGTCCCAGTAAACCATATAGAAGCTGTGGAATAAACAACAAAGCTCTCATACAACCCGAACTCCATGCAGAGTAAAGCATATAATGAATTTATACTTACAGTGAAATGATTTTGGCTCCTTCTAGTTTTAAAAATATATTGTAAACCTACCATAGACATAGTAGCAAAAAATTACCTTTATTATGGCCTTATGCACTTTCTGGCATGGAGAGAATGAAAATTAAGATAATGAATTATGAAAATTAAGATAATGAATTATATTTATATCCAGTAAAAATTGCTTATCTCTGAAAATTTGCTATAGGAGTTCTGATGTACTTTTATGGTTACATACAGCTATAGTAGAAAATCAGTATTTTTAAGTTTTTGCTCTTTGTTTTGCTTACTGGAGGATAAGGGAAGATATTGAGCTCTAAATTCCATAAAAAAAAACATAGCAATGTGCTGTAGCTATTTGAGAATTTATTAACACCAGTATCTCCACACAGCAGCTTAGATATCCCTTATAAATCTCTAAATATTACTCTTACCTCATCTGTAAATATGGCCATGTATTTGATAGGACTTTCTATATGTGCTATGGTTGCAACAGGTCCCATGGCAAAGAACTGCTTAACCTAAGACAAAAAATTCAATAATAATAAGTCATACAGTCAACCTTTTTATCTTGAACTAAATGCCGAATGGGGACAAAATAAACTTTGGAGATATTCCAGAGTTCAAGATATAACTTAAAGGTTAAAATCACTGATGAGAGATTGGTTAGAACTTCTAACTAATTTTGACATATGCATGTTATTCCAAAAGGCAATGTTTGAGACATAAAAATTCAATTGTATATTTTGTATCAAAAATCTTTTTAAAAAAATCAAATGAGAACAATGAATTAAATGTAAGATGTACCTTTTTGGCAAGCGTTGCATTTTTTGAGAAAGCAGCGAAAGCTTGTAGAGTTCCTTGTGAGTGGCCGATAAAGTAAAGCTGCCGTTCTCCCGTCTTCTGTAGGACGTAATCAATCACTGCCGGAATGTCATACCTCGCCATCTCATCCCAGCTGAAAAAGAGTTTTCAACATACTCAAAGTGATACTGATAAATTTGTTTATATGTGTATAGTCAGTAAAAAATGCTTGCTTACAGAAAAATGCCAGGGATAAATAATTTTCATTCATTAATATATCTAATTTGTTTTAACCATTATCTTAACAGCATGTTTTATGGAAATGAAAATCACTTCACTGTAAGGATTTTATTAAAGACTTGTTTGCTGTAATCATGCTTTTCTGTATTTATCTGGTACAATAACACAAGTTTAGAGGATCATATGTAGATTTATGGTTGAGTACAATACTTACCTCCAAGCCCAGAATGCCTCCTCTTTTGGAGACAGCTTCACATGGTTTCTAGAGTATGTGTTTCCCCTAGAGTTCCCAAGCCAGACATCAAAACCTGCATCAGCTAGCACAAAACCTTTCAACAACAACAAAAAATTTGAATTTTTTAAAATAGAGATTAGTTCTATATCTCTGTCATAATAATCAAAACATTTAATATACATATAATATCCTTTTCCTTCTTACTAATTTGATGATAAAAAAAATCAAAGACTTCTAATCTTTGAATTAAAAGTGACTAGTATTTTTTCCATGTCATTTAGAATTAAAAGACATACACTCAGAATATATATTAATTAAACACATGAACATTTATATTATATTGCTCATTAATTTCCCCAAAACACAAGCTTTTGACATGTACATTAACTGCATTTTTAAAATGACACCCTTGATTTAGACCTTCAGTCATGAGGAAGTATTTCAAAGTACACTTCAACATGTTCAAACAATTTAAGTTTCCCATAAAAACATAAGATCATATTTTTCAACTGACCAATTAATGAAGCTAAAACAAAGTGTATAATCATTCACATTTAAAATTTACTCGTCAAAATTACACATAAATCTATCAAATTTATCAATCAAAATATTTGCCAGGCTTTATTTTGGAGGGGGGGGGGGTTACAATTAATTTGTATTTCTTCATATTTTTACCAAAACTCTCATTTGCCAGATTGGTGACCCAGTTAGTGGCAGATGCTAGCAGTCCATGTTGTAGAAACACTACTGGTCTCCCCGATACGACAGGCTGTTTCTTCTTCCCGTGGGGAATTCTCTGAACCCCCAGTATGTAACCATCCTCAGTTGTCACTCTGTGTTCTTCACAAGGGTAGCCTTTACTGGTTATCAGCTGAGTCTAAGTAGAAAAGTAAATTTACTTCACAAAAAAGAACATTTAGACACATTTTCATGACAACATATGAAAACAAATGCCGAAATGAATTTATGGCATTTTTAGCTCACCTGAGCCAAGGCTCAAGTGAGCTTTTTTGATCAAAATTTGTCCGTTGTCTGTTGTCGTCGTTGTCGTCGTTAACCTTTCACATTTTCATCTTCTTCTCAAGAACCACTGGGCCAATTTCAACCAAACTTGGCACAAAGTATCCTTGGGTGAAGGGGATTCAAGTTTGTTCAAATGAAGGGCCACACCCTTTTCCAAGGGGAGATAATCATGATTTAGAGAAAAATTATTGGCATTTTTAAAAAATCTTCTCCTCAAGAACCACTGGGCCAGGAAAGATAAAACTCATGTGGAATCATCCTCAGGTAGAGTAGATTCAAGTTTGTTCAAATCATGACCCCCGGGGGTAGGGTGGGGCCAAAATGGCCGATCAAAATTTTTACATAGGAATATATAGGAAAAATCTTTAAAAATCTTCTTCTCAAGAACCACTGGGCCAGGAAAGATGAAACTCATGTGGAATCATCCTCAGGTAGAGTAGATTCAAGTTTGTTCAAGTCATGACCCCCGGGAGTAGGGCGGGGCCAAAATGGCCGATCAAAGTTTTACATAGGAATATATAGGAAAAATCTTTTAAAAATCTTCTTCTCAAGAACCACTGGGCCAGGAAAGATGAAACTCATGTGGAATCATCCTCAGTTAGAGTAGATTCAAGTTTGTTCAAGTCATGACCCCCGGGGGTAGGGCGGGGCCAAAATGGCCGATCAAAGTTTTACATAGGAATTAATATATAGGAAAAATCTTTAAAAAATCTTCTTCTCAAGAACCACTGGGCCAGGAAAGATGAAACTCATGTGGAATCATCCTCAGGTAGAGTAGATTCAAGTTTGTGCAAGTCATGACCCCCGGGGGTAGGGCGGGGCCAAAATGGCCGATCAAAGTTTTACATAGGAATATATAGGAAAAATCTTTAAAAATCTTCTTCTCAAGAACCACTATGCCAGGAAAGATGAAACTCATGTGGACTCATCCTCAGGTAGTGTAGATTCAAGGTAGTTCAAGTCATGACCCCCTGTTGTAAGGCGGGGCCAAAATGGCCAATCAAAGTTTTACATAGGAATATATAGGAAAAATCTTTAAAAATCTTCTTCTCAAGAACCACTGGGCCAGCAAAAATGAAACTCATGTGGTATCATCCTCAGGTAGTGTAGATTCAAGTTTATATATACCCCCGGGGGTAGGGCGGGGCCAAAATGGCCGATCAAAGTTTTACATAGGAATATATAGGAAAAAGAGAAAATCTTCTTCTCAAGACCATTGAAACAGGAAAGATGAAACTCATGTGAAATTATCCTCAGGTAGTGTAGATATATATTTATTCAAGTCATGACCCCCGGGATATATACGGGGCCAAAATGGCCTATGTCAAGTTTTACATAGGAATATATAGGAAAAATCTTTAAAAATCTTCTTCTCAAGAACCACTGTGCCAGGAAAGATGAAACTCATGTGGAAGCATGCTAAGGTAGAGTAGATTCAAGTTTGTTCAAGTCATGACCCCCGGGGGTAGGGCGGGGCCAAAATGGCCGATCAAAGTTTTACATAGGAATATATAGGAAAAATCTTTAAAAAATCTTCTTCTCAAGAACCACTGGGTCAGGAAAGATGAAACTCATGTGGAATCATCCTCAGGTAGAGTAGATTCAAGTTTGTTCAAGTCATGACCCCCGGGGGTAGGGCGGGGCCAAAATGGCTGATCAAAGTTTTACATAGGAATATATAGGAAAAATCTTAAAAAATCTTCTTCTCAAGAACCACTGGGCCAGGAAAGATGAAACTCATGTGGACTCATCCTCAGGTAGTGTAGATTCAAGGTTGTTCAAGTCATGACCCCCGGTTGTAAGGCCCACTGGGCCAGGAAAAATGAAACTCATGTGGTATCATCCTCAGGTAGTGTAGATTCAAGTTTGTTCAAGTCATGACCCCCGGGGGTAGGGCGGGGCCAAAATGGCCGATCAAAGTTTTACATAGGAATATATAGGAAAAATCTTTAAAAATCTTCTTCTCAAGACCATTGAAACAGGAAAGATGAAACTCATGTGAAATTATCCTCAGGTAGTGTAGATTCAAGTTTATTCAAGTCATGACCCCCGGGGGTAGGGCGGGGCCAAAATGGCCGATCAAATTTTTACATAGGAATATATAGGAAAAATCTTTAAAAATCTTCTTCTCAAGAACCCTTGAAACAGGAAAAATGAAACTCATGTGAAATTATCCTCAGGTAGTGTAGATTCAAGTTTGTTCAAGTCATGACCCCAGGGTAAGGGTGTGGCCAAAATGGCCGACCAAAGTTTTACATAGAAATATATAGGGAAACCTTTTTAAATCTTCTTTTCAAGTACTTCAAAGCCAGGATTAGTAATATTTGTATGGAATCATCCTAAGGTAATGTAGATTCTAGTTCGTTCACATCATGATCCCCTTGGGGGTTAAAATTCAAGCCCCCCCCCAACTTAAATTAACTTTCAGTTCTGATCTGATATGTGTTTTTTTCCTAGCTGATGTGCTCAGGTGAGCGCTGTGGCCCCGGGGCCTCTTGTTAACTGATCTAATCATACTAATCCAATCTAGAAGTGAATATGCATTGAATTAAAAAAAAAAAAAATAGGATTCAATGTTTGGCTGATCCATTCTATCTACGGTACAGTAAATATAGGAATATATATTTATCAGACTCAGAGAGACAGAGACATATAGCATATTTTTTTATATGTCTCTGATATTTATGCAACCATATAACATATAAAATTGGTGTGGCTACAATTTATCTGATTAATCCCTTACCACATTCATGCACACTTCAGGGTCATCTGACAAGCGTGTTTTAACTCCAACATGCTTAAGAAGTTCAAACTGTAAGAAACCATCAGTTTCACAATACACAGATTTCTGCATATAGACGTGCACATCAGAAATCCGGTTTGCAACAGCTCCCAGGGAATACAGAAAGAGCGTCACTGCAGAGAACAGGGTAAAAAGCACGGCATACCGTGCCCGACACTGGCCTGACATCTTCATCCACTTGAATAGACATTGAGAGGATGTTCCTCTCCTTTTCACTATCCACATGTAATAATTGAAATCACATGACTTCACATCACATGTAAACAAACAATGTTACCAATGAAATCTTTTGATTGGATCAGCGATGAAAATTTAATTTACAATTGTTGCTTACATTAGAAAGTATTGAAAATGTTTAAATGATCATAAAAGTAATATTTTTTTCTCAGATAGATCTGTAACAGTACAAAATTGCTCTGATTTAGAGTTTTTTCAATGACAATCTGGGTCCAAAGTCAAACCGGAAGTATATACTTGAAAAAGAAAAATCAACGCCAACAAGATTGGACATGTGATTTCCGTATTAAATCTTAATCCCCCAAGTATTTAAAAAGGGGGGAGGGGTTCTTCCTCAAACAGATTTTATTTCAATATACATTTACAATTACTGCGAGGGGGGCCAGCCTCTCTATGAACATTTTCAATGGTAAAAGCCACTAAAAGGTAATGTTTCGAACCCCCTTCCAGCAACAATAGTTACGTGTATTTTCGACCATTTAGATGTTATTTATCAATTTATGTCTGTAAAAAATAAGGGCTGGTAAATGACAAATTGGTTTTGTGTTTATTTTATTTATATGCTTTGGTGTACAGTAACAGTCGCTGTTACAAACCCTCTTTTTATTTGCTGAATTGCTTTTGCTACAACCTGGTATAAAAGTGGACATGTGACCCATAGGAAACTGAATATATGCCACTGCACCGATATATACTTCAAATGCAAGGAAAAACACATAGAACACCAGTAGAATTAAGTCGTTTCGATTTAGGTCTTTTGATAAAACATAATAAGTTATACATGTATATAAAACAAAGATATAAATTTTGATATATGTATTTGTACCTTGTACACATACAAATAAAATTGTGACTGAAGAAAGAGGAACAATACACGTTATATATAGCAGGTGCCCTTGAAGTCCTATGCATTGACAGTGTTTATGAAGTCCCCTACATAATTAGACAGTGTTCATGTTGTCTATAGAGTCGCCTGTCCCTTGTCAGCTTGCCTGGCGTAAAATAGATTGTTGCTATTTCTTGAAGAATATCTTCGAAACTCTCCTACAATATATAAGAAATGTACCAGTCTGGTATATAAAATCGTTTGTACTCTCAGAGCTTGGGCGCTTGTTTCATGCAGTACGCTGGTGTACTATATATACAACTAGCGTACTTTATATGAAACGGACCATATGAAGCAAGCATGATTCAATGTTCTAGCTAGAAAGTGTCATAATATCCCCCATTTTTTTTCCATATGTTCTATAAAGTTTACAATCCCCATATCAACAAAACAAAGAAAGTCAAAGAAAATAATTAATATTTAATATTATTGATATCCGAAGGTTAATCTGATGGAAGACCCCGTTCCTTTTGTGGCTTTAAAACCCGTTTTTTTTTTTGTTTTTTTTTTACAAGTATAGAGATAATCAGCCAATTAGGCTAATTAACAGGAATCGATTTTCATAAAATTTAAAATAGAAACGCGACAACATCCCCTCGACAAAGAGCATAATCTATGTAAATCAAGGCAGCATTCTCCATGCCATGCTAACGTCACTTCCGTTACGCACACAATTAAGAACAACGTCTCCATCACCACTACACAGGGAAAAGTGGCTTACATGATATTCATGTGATTATCTTTTTATTTGAAAATTATGTGAAAATCATATGAAAATTATATGAATATATTTTCATGTGAATATCATGTGAATATAAGTTTAAATGATATTCACATAAATCTTTTTTTGAACTTTCATATGAAGTTTTCTTTGCACGATATATATGAGATACGCTCTTAATGTAAAGTTCATATGAAATTTATGTAAAAATCACATAAATTTCACATGTCTTGTTTTTCGTGTCTTTTTTATGCTAAGAATTCACTTGAAATTTATGTGAGCCACTTTTGCCTGTGTACAACATGTATACACCCATAAGCGCGTTTCTATATCCCTTCCAACAACAGGTCCTGGTCTGGTTCCAGGGACAACTTAAGTCGAGCTTACTTTTGATTTCAGCCCCACTTTTACAAAAGAAATATAGAGTGGAAAAGTGAGACTGAGAACAAAAGTGAGCTCAACTATGCAATTTTTCGGCCGCTGAGCAGCCTGAGGCCTGTTCAGCAGAGCCAACGTTCGCGAGCGCTCGCTGAAATTCCTTATACCTCCAATAGTAATTTTGGCCTCTGGTGACTGACGTAAATCTGATCCAAAATCTGGAGAAGACAAAATCACCAAAACACTGACGATATAACGCCAAGGGTACTGAGTTCGCTCTACAAGTGGACTCAGGACCCCCGATAGAGTTAAGCCCTATAATGAACAAAAAAGTGCTCACGTTTTGAACTGCAGAACACTCAAAATAACCGACTGCATTTATAGTTCGAGCGAAGTGGCGGAGTTCCTCTGACGTCAGCAATTTCCGCTTCAGTTCTCCTTTTTCGCGGAGGTCTATTTTTGTGGCGATAACAATGACTGGAGGGGGGTCAGGAAGACATCTGTTAAAATTCTTCAAAAGCTAGAGAGAAGCAGAGATATATAATTAGGTTTCTAAATATTTACATTTTCAAATGGCTTTGTTCGGCAATTTAGCTTTATTTCTCAACAAAACACTTTGCTCATCACGTGATAAGAACTGCATTTTCTCTGTGTGCATAGCTTTGTAATATACTTTGAATGGGGCTTAACATTTTAATCATTTCAAATAAAAAATAACATAAATATCATAATAAAAAAATAAAACTAATGACTTACAATTTTTGATTCTCTCTCCAAATTCACGAAATCAATGGGAATGCAAAGGAGGATGACGTCATAAGTCACTTCCTGTAGGATAACTCTTCGGAGTCCATCATAGAATTCACAGGTTGGAATGTCGTATAAATGAATGCAGACTTCTCTACCCTGGTGTCGTATATCCACGGTGTGGATCTCGTGGACTGTGGGATGGATGCTCTCAAACTTTGGGCATTTGCCGTCGATGTACGCTTGGATCATGCTTGTTTTTCCGCTCATTTGCCAACCATCCACAACACACTTTATAACTGGCACGCTTTCTTTTCTTTTATTTTTCTTCAACAAAATAAAATCATGTACATAAACAAAATTATATAGATACGACTCGTATCAATTAAGTTATATAATAGAAAGTAAAATTTATCAAAATAAATAAATATGATCAATGCAGAAAGTTTTTTCTCCGGATTTTTTTCATGGATTCTGGTGATGAAATCGGTTTATCGACATTTATTTTATTTTATACTTAATGAAGTTGGTTAAAACAAACAAACAGATAACAAAAAAAATTTTTATTTTGTGTTCATTCGTATTGCCTATAGACATAAACAAAATTATATAGATACGACTCGTATCAATTAAGTTATATAATAGAAAGTAAAATTTATCAAAGAAAATAAATATGATCAATGCAGAAAGTTTTTTCTCTCCGGATTTTTTTCATGGATTCTGGTGATGAAATTGGTTTATCTACATTTATTTTACTTTATATGAAATGAAGTTGGATAAAACAAACAAACAGATAATAAAAAACCCCTTATTTAGTGTTCATTCGTATTGCCTACACAGATACAGGTTGTATCAGTCACATTTCTGTACCTTTATTACTTTTTCCCGGTACATTTTGTGAAATGTGACGTCATGACTTCCACTCTCCCTGTTAGATACATGTTCTCCTACACACTTGTTACAGAAACTGCTATCACATGGCTCACACACGAATTGTACGTGTTTGTCACACTTGACACACGATAGGGGGCGCTCGTAACCCTCTGAATCCCTCTGAGATTCCATAATAACCTAAAAAGAAATTGACAAAAATATCCAGTTATATAGCACTTTTAGTACCAATATACATGTACATGAAATATGAGAGAGAGAGAGAGAGAGAGAGAGAGAGAGAGAAAGTTTGATACATATTACTTGAACTGGGCGTCTTTTTTTTTTAGTAAAAAGAACATGCAAAAAAAAAATTCATATAATTTAACTGGTGCTTAAACTTCATTGATAATAGTGGAAAATGTTTTCATTGAACAAATTAAAATAATGCATAATGTTTTAAGATTGGTTTTCATGAAAAGTTGAAAAAATGTATTCAAATGATAATTTTTTTTTCACTTGGAAAATATAGACGATATTCTTATCTGTAGGATATAAAATAAAAGACAAGAAGGATAACCTAGCATTACACTGTATATCTGTAATCTGTGTATTGTGCCGTCATGCATAAATAACAACATTTTAAGTAAATAAGAAAAATGGGTAAACTCGTTAAAACTACTCCGTGCATGTGATACAACAATACAATACATGTATTTTGAAAAAAAAAGTTTAAATAATCGTTTTTTTTTTTTGTTTTTGTTTTTTTTTAACATTTAGGGCAAATGCTTGTCGTATCGTACCTGATTCTTTATATAAAAAAAAATCATCGCTAAATTATTTATAAGGGATAATTAATCAAATATTTAAAAAGAAATCACGGCATTTGTTGACAAATCATCTTTATAAAAAAAAAAACACAAACAACTGTCTTATACATGTACCATTTATAAAACCTGTAAATAATATTACACCTGTTAAATTAAAATAAGCATGCAATTCACCTTTAAAATGATCAATACAAATGACGATTGTCACTCTACAATTGCGGCACTTTCTTCATATTCAAAATCGAAACAAATGCCAGAAAATAACTAATCCTTTTCTATGGCAAAATGAAGAACTTCTTCCCTGTTATAATATAGCTTCCGCAAAACTCTTCTTTAGGCAGTATTGGAAAACTTGTATAATTGATACTTCCCCGTAATAGAATTACATGTATTTACTTACTAGATTAATTTTCAGTGCAGGTTGAACTTCCTTAAGTTAAAAAGTAATTATGTTTACTGACAGTCAAGTTATAAAAGGAAGCTATGCCCACCTTGTACTCTCACTCAGTGTGACAAACTGACTTTACCTACGACCAGTATTTGTCACTGAAAAAAATTCGTCTTATTTTTCTTCAGAATATTATCAATTTTCTTTTTCTCTAATGTGATAGCCTGTCTTTAGTCAGAAAATGTTTATTTTGTATTGTATGTAAATATTTTTATGTGTATGTTTGAATTTATTTCAGTTAAATAAATGAACATTAAAATAAACTTATTTATAATTTAAAAGAAATACGAATTAGTCTTTGTTTGAGTTATTTAATGCAGCTACTATTTTTAGACATTTTGACACGGGTGACTGGTTTTGACTTCTATTTGGTTATCTTGATTTTGTAAGTTATTTCCCCTGCTGGTCTTTCTCGAACGAGGCAGTTATTACGTTAAATAAAGTTTGGGTCTTTGGGTTTAATGGTTGTGACACTGTGTAAGGGGGGTAGGGGGGGGGTGGCAGAAGAGGGAAATGTGGGAAGTTGATGGAGACCATGTGTAAAGTAGGTGCCTAACAAATAATAACATAACACATACAGCATCACCGTCAAAATCAGAAAAAAAGATTAAAATGTTATTCTTTATTCATGCAGGTATATAAATTTGATGATTTCTCAACCACCCATGATATTTCACTCCCACATATGTCTTCTTTTTTTGGAATAGAAATAAGTACACAGTATATCAGTAGTATTTTTAAGTTTAGATATTTGAAAAATAATATAAGGGTGCAATTTTGGAATATTTACTGAGGTGGGCAAGATTATAGAAACAGCTAAAATTATCTTATTTTTAATTTTTTCTGATTTTGTTTTGTTTTGGGTTTTTTGGGAGGGTCTACCTCCATACGTTTTACCTACTAGATTTTTTGCACATTATATTTGTTTCCTAATAAAACTTTTCCAAACTCAACGTCAAATTATTGTGACGATATAAACTTTGCGCGCAAAAAGACGTTATGATCGTTCCCGGATTCTGACGTCATGATTCCCTTGGAAGATATAAAATAAACAAAGTGAAACAAGATGGTGTCTGAAGAGCATGCTAAAAACACGGACGAAAAAATATGATGAAGTGGCTTTGTGTAGCAGTAATTTGCATATTTTTTATGCTGAAAAAGATTGGGTGAGTTAAGATTTTATCGCCAATTTAGCCGGAAAGATTTGACTGTTTACTTTGCAAAAAAGTAAAAATGTCTATATTTTATTTCATATTGAAAATCCAATAATATTACGAGCATTTATCTGTTAACATTATTATTTTTTTTGACTACTCAGTGTGCTTACTTGTGTACGTACCTGATTATTTATAAATTCTTCATATTTTTTGTACGTCCTGTTGAGAGAGGACTCCAACTCTCCTCATAAAAATAGATTAATCATCATTATTTATTGAAAATTTGAAATATACCCCTGTCAATTCATTTGTATCACTTTACTAGATTATGCCACGCCCACTCTGAGGAGGATAGACACGCCGACACACATCACCTCGGGGAGAAACTGTTCTATGCTGTATTCGGGGTGGAGAAATTACCAGTCTGTTTGTTATGCGACGATGAGCAACAACCAGCAGAGAAAAATTCTCCTTTCTTAGGTATAAGGTAGACTTCTCAATCATCCCTCAGTCTGAAAACAAAAATTCGAATTCGCAAACAACCTCATTTTAAATGTTATATAACTAAATTGTGAATAAATTAATATACAAAATACACAAAATACTTTTACATACTTTATAAAATGGCAATGTCCATTTTTGCTCAAAATCCAAAATATATGAATCAGTCAAAAAGTATATAGGAGGTGCACACTTTTTTTAAAGATTCATGAAATTTTCATTAAATTTCCTTCAGTGGTGTGAGAGGAGTTGCGGATTGGAGGGGTCCCCCCCCCCCCCCCCAGACGGACGGACTTTTAGTTGGACGATATAGTCAAATAAGATTAATGTAGTGTTTATACTCTCCCGCTTTTCAATAATGGTACTATTATGAATAAATTGATATACATATACACAAAATACTTTTATATAACTTTTTTTTATTTTGAGTATTATTTTATTTTATTTTATTTTGAACAAAAATTCCCCTAGTATCAGTCATATGGATATTTGGGCAATTTTTTCCAAACATAACATTTTACTCTAGAAAATATTGAAAATATTGAAAGTCCGATTGCCCCCCCCCCCCTTCCTCCCCCCACACTTTTAGTTGCGATATAGTCAAATATAAGATTAATGTAGTGTTTGAGTAAAAAATAATGATACTGTTAGAAGTTGGAACTTAACATACTACACACCCCCTAATCTCAGTGGAGATTCTGCTGGGCTTACATGGCAATACAGAGCTGGGCTTCTTTTGATCTGACGCCCACGGAGCTGGGCTATACTTCCCCGGATAGTGGGTGGTTTTGGTGGTGGTGGTGACTGGTCCCCCTCATGCAAAGTCTTTTTGACGATAGCTAAACATGTACATAAATATATATGTACTAAAAGTCTGACTTGTCAGTTTCAGATCTAGGAAATTCACTTCTCCTCCCAATTGTTGTTGGTTGTATCTCGGGACTCTTGTTCTGCTCATGTCTGTTGGCCATATACATCTTGAAACGACGCTTCAGAGAAGGTGAGTAGATATTCCTGAATACATCAAATGTCTGTATGAATATGAAATTGTAATCATGCACTGAATTATGAAGTATAAAATATTCTTCAGATGAATATAGCATACACATGTACTTTCTACATGTACTAAGTCCTCCTCAATTACAAAAGGGGGAATTTATGCATTTGGAAAATGACCGAAATGTTATTTTAGCTTTATGAATATTTTACTCAAATTGTTGGTGAATATGACATTTTTACAGGAAAAATTGAGCTCGGGGCCAGAGACATCTGTACCACGGCTAATAAAAATTCTGCATATTTGAGAGCTTTTGTTGTGAAAAGAAAAGATGCAACAAGAATCAGATGCCTAGAACAAGTAGCTGATCAAGTCAAGCGAGAAAAGAACTCGAGGAAAATTCGCCTGTTGGTTAGAAAGCGCCGAGATGGATCTGTCGAAACACTCAAGGTACGACTAGACAAGTACAGAGATCCAAACTTTCACCAGAGGGAAAAGGGAGGGAAGAGGAGCAAAAAAGCACTAGAAGAATATCAAGCCGAGGACCTGCCCGGAGAACTTCTTGATTCTCTGTTGTGTGTGAAACCAAACTGTACTGAGCATCGTCACGGAAAAATCAAATCTTGTAGGAAAACACAAACCGAGAAAGTCAAGGTTCCAAGAAAATTTGAACGAACGCCGCCAAAGGGCTTCGAACAGGACATGCGTGACGGTGTACCATTGGAGGACATCGACTGTTTATCAGATCTTGGGCCCCCTCAACATTCTTCAACTTTCGTGCAGTCTGATCCGCAATCATTTTACCAATCAAATCTGAACGGATCTTCCAAGAGTCCTTTTGTCGACTCTTCGTGTGACACTTTGGGATCATCCGCGGAACCCCAAGTCCCGTGCTACGGTACAGAAAACGATCGAGTCTACGAACAAAATGGTTCTTTGAGGGACCCGCCAACGTCAGATAAGCAGAATTCTATGTGGAATACAACGTCAATCCAACTCCCTATTTCAACCCCAGACAAAAAGAATTGTGAGGGCTCTCTATTTTTCCTTAATGAAGGAACTTCGGAGCATCTTGACTCATTCCAAGAGGAAAGTCCAGAAAATACATTTGCTGAGAAAAATGGATTCTCGTTTGATGATAGTGCAACCAATAGTTCGTATCTCCAAAGACTTGACAATTCGGTAACTCTGGAAACATCTGCGGAATCCACAAATACGGGATTTGGGAATTTTGTTGATTCTTTTCAAGGACTAAGAAACAGATCTGTGACGTGCGTGCGAAGTGCTCTGGAATGCGCTTCAAACATAGCTCTGCAAACTGGACGTGGGGCGCGCTACGTTGGAAGAAAAACTGTGGAAGGAGCAACAGTGTTGCTTCAAAGAACAGGACATGGAACGCGTGTTGTCTTTGCAAAAACGGCAGACGGTGTCCATTACGTCATTGAGTCAACATGCAGTCGAACTAGACGTAGATGTGTTGCTAGGAAGATATGTGCTGCAGAAAAATCTCTTCTCTGTGCAATCGCTAGGGAAAATTTAAATTGGAGTGTTTATGAATACATGCAGGAGTTTGCTCAATATGGAGATGATACGGTTAGTAAAGTATCCAATATGTTTTAAACATAATTTAGAACATTTTAAAATATAATTATTTGTTAAGAAATATGAGGGATTAAGTTTTTTTTCTTCTTTTACAGAATACAGCCCTCCATCTTGTTGCTGCTGTTCTCGTCAAGTTTTCTGTTGACAAAGCTCGTTCCTGTGCAAAGCGCCATTTGGATGTCAATATGTCTTGCTTTCTTTCAAACGAGAGCTTTTTTATTGAACACGACGATGAAAATTTGCATGCTTGTGGAGATTTTTCATACGAAAATTAAATTTGGCATTACGTCGTCTTCGCATAAAAATGTGTTGACACCACTAAATTGATTTAATTATATTCAATAGGCAAAACTAATGGTATAAAATAATATTATCCCAGTTTTGCCAGGTCGGTGGATTAAAACGATTTTGTAGAATAGAAAGCAAATATAAATTTTATTTTTGTCAATCATGAATGCTCAATCATAATGTCTTACATCTTCATATTAATTTTTTAAAAGTAAAATTAAATTTTTAATTAATGCAGACTAACGAATAGTTTACTGTTATAAACAGGGGATTGTCAAAAAAACAAAGTGAAAGGAAGGAGCCTGAATAAAATTTTATTTCCGAATTTTGCCTCCCCTGTAAACTAAATCAATCCTTATATAATCAAACTACAGTCAATCCTAGTTAATCCGAATGCTTGTTCCCATGCAAATCGTCCACTGAAATGAAGCGTCTGATTTATTTAAATGCAGGCCTTAAAAATACATGAAAAAACTTGACTGCAAGCGACTATACGTTACGCAAAAACGGGAATATTTATAAACTTAAAATAGAATTTTGCATGATACTACCGGGTATATAAATATTGCATGTAGTTGAGTGTAACATTGAAAATTTTCACCCAAGAAAACCATTGTCAACCGTATTGTATCTTAAGGCCAAGGTTAAAGTTTTTTTTCTCAAAATAATATAAGTCCAATCCAAGGCCAAGGTCGTGAGTTAAAAAGATGTGGCTTCTGGTTCAAAGGTTTTTTTTTTAATGATGCATTGAAATATAAAAAAAGGAATGGATTTTTGACTTCATGTAATGATAAGTTTAATTATAAAACACAATTCACGTAACGTAATGCAATTTTGACCTCACATATTAAAGAAATGAAATGATGTAAAGAAACATTCATTACACGTAATAAAGTTTTAACACACTGTAAACACATTATCACTTCACATAATGAATTTTTGACTTCAAGTTATGAAGTGCCGACATAATGAAAGGATGTATTTACTTCATGTAATGCAGCAACATGGCATAAAACATAATAAAGGCATAGTTGTATGCTATAAGGCAGTGATGGCATACAAGGCCAAGACAAAATGTGGCTTTGAAAAAAGAAATCCTAGCACCAACCAATCATGCATCCATGCAGGTAATAAGACGAAGGTTATAGTAAAAAAGTAGCAGTAAGCTCATACTCCAAGGTCACACATATCTGTCGTTTAAACAATGAATAAAATATGATGAAATGTGACAGTCGTGTCTCCAACCTTTTGAAAAATATAGGGAAGGTTAAAGATTTTACAAATGTCACTATCTCAAATGTCAAGGCCAGAAGATCAAAAAGGTTGATACTCTAAGAAAGATATCACAAAGAATACACTTGAAATACATTTGTGTGAAACTTAAGAGCCCTAGCACTAACCACTCCAAAGTTATGGTACCGGTAAGATTAAAGGTTTTTCAAAAGGATGCCATTTCCAAAGTCAAAAGGTCGTACAAATGTTGGTGCCAAATGAAAGGTCAGAGTTGACAAAAAAAACCCGGCTACACAAAATATGTGATTAACCATTTTTTTTTAGATCGTTTATTATTCTGCTCATCTTAGTAACCATGGTAACTTTTTACTAAAAAAATCCTGCCAGACTTGGTCTTCGAAATCACTTTTTCCGTCTTCTAATGTTACAACCGCGATCGGTTTTAAAATATATGATTTTCCCAGAATGCACCGTAATTGACATTCCTTCGGCGAAAAATCAACATGGCAAATGTTGAACCTGACTACGAGCAAAAAGGAGAGCATGGCGAGACAAAAGTCAAGATAATATGCTTAGGCGACAGCGCTGTAGGGAAATCAAAGTAAGTTTACATGTAGACTGGTTACATTTGGAGTATCAGGGTATAAAACGAATGGGAATAACATTAACAGACTGTTCAACTTTTGTTTTTATCTTCTCTACGTAAGTTGGTGATAAAAAAACTTATGCTTTAAATTAATTATCAATAGTTAAATTTTGACAAAGATATGAAAGATTTTATTTTATTGAAACTTTTAATTGTAAAAATTGTTGCCCTTATAAAATGAATGATAAAGGGTGTAATATCGTTAAAAGCAAGAAAAAGACGGGTATATGTCAAAGAAGTATCTTATTATATCATATCGTTTTCAAAAACCTAAAAGTTGTTGTTATAAGACTCCATTGACATCTTTAACAATGCTTTCTTATATTATACTATGCCTACCTAGTAATGTAGGTGTAACTTACCATGGATCAAAACAATTAGACAAAGTCTAGGCCCCTAGCCTTGCCTAGCACGATGTACTGCCATTTTTTTTCACGATCCCCATAGTCATAACAACTTTCAGTCAGAAGTTCGTTTGATGTAAAGCTCCAGCAATTGTCACTTGATGTTTTCAAATACACAGATAGCAAATTTTTTTTGATCGATCTACTTTCTCTCGGCATGTAAACATCAACGGTGCCTTCAAGTTATACGTCATCAATTTGATTTTGGCAGTCATTCATGTAGTTTCATGTTTTGCGAAAGTCATGAGATATATTTTTTGTGTGATTTGATTTCAACTTTCACATTTATATCAAACAAGTATATATACACCATTTCAGTATATTCACATATATATCCTCTATATATCTTTACTTATGCTAACTTGTAAGTTCGTAAAAAAAAAATCGTTATGTATTAAATTAATTATACAAAGTTAAATTAAAAGATATGAAATGAATTAATGGATAAGGATAAATGTAACAAATTGAATTTCCTTTTACACAATGAATGTCATCTTTGAAAAGGGGGGGGGGGGGGTATATGCACTTGTTATATCATATTTCAAAAACTATACAATAAATTGTTAACCTAAGGAAGTCGCTTATTTACTTTTTGATTTTGAAATATCCTAAAATTCCTAAAATGTGCCTTTTCTATTTTTCCGTTATAGATTGGTGGAGCGATTTTTGATGGATGGATAGTATCCTTTATCTAGAGCTTCTTTTTCATGTGCACATAGATATTTCATTTATCCTGCAACTACCTCTTACATTGCCTTATTAAATGTAACCTAATGCCCTAATAAAGTCTTGTACATGTATTCTGACATTCTAAAGGCATTTTGACATCATGTATATTGCAGTGTTTATTTACGTCATAGCATCTTTGTTTCAACTGCAGAAATGTGCCTCATCGGGTTGAAAATAGCATGTTTTGGAGGCCTGATGTAAAAGTATGTTGCAGGATAAACAATGAACATGGTTACTCTCTTGAAATATAAGTGATATTTGGGCTCGGGTCGAAAACATGATAGAGAGCATGACAAGCCTCCCTCTCACCTTTTCTTACCTTTGCCCAAATATCACTTTAATTTCTAGACAGTAACCATGTGTTTCATATAGATTTAGTCTTTTTCCTTCAGTTCAAGATTTCTGAGTAAATGTTTACATATGATTTTCTTCTCAACATTCTCTCCATATCAGGGCTCATAGCTGAGTTCACTGTGGGAATCAGCTGTGGGACCCCTGACAAACTGCATTCATTTGATTAATTGGACAAATATAAAGCATCTATAAAGCATTTACTGCTCCTTAATGAATCTAGCAAACCACAACAGTTATCAACTTATGCTCTGACTTTATTCAACTACCAGACAGAACTTGGTGATGAAAAAGTATCAGTGGGTAAGGATGATTTATGTGTTAATAAAATAGTTACAGTTGACATACTATTATAGTTGGAATAAAATTCCTTATCATTTTTCTAACATGACATATTGAGTGAAATTTTAGAAATCTGATGAATTTCAGTAATTTTTTAGAAAGAATTAAGATACAATATAAATTATCATGTAATATAAATTAAACTGGGAAAAAAAATTAATGTAGATTTTATGAACAAGTGTCATATGTTGAATAAATTTGATTTATATGATTGTCTTTGAAAAATATTTTATGATCAGAAGTTTTTGTGTGTGTGTGTGTATCATTATTTGTATTCATTGTTAAATTGGCAAAACCATCTCCAATTTCTTTACAGATTTCTGGGATACTGCGGGTCAGGAGCGATTTAATAACATGCATCCTTCATATTACCACAATGCACATGCTTGTATTCTGGTAGGTCACGTTAACATACTTTATATCATTCAAAAATTTAATGATTATTCCAGAGATTATTCAATAAAACTCAACAAAAAAAAAAAAAAAGAGACTATGCATGCTGTTCTGTGTACAGCATTTAAAGAATCTAGCTTATGTAAAACAAATTTCAAGGTCTATTGTCTTCCTTTTAATGAAGTTTTACTATAATTTTTGAGTGATACATGTATTTTTTCAAAATGATTTTTTTTTATTATCATTATAAGCTGATTGTTATAAATATAAGAACATGTTAGAATGTAGAACAACTTTTTGAAGTTCATTTAACCTGTTTTTAAGGCAACTCTTTGTTTTATACTTTGTTAATTCTTGATTAGGTGTTTGACACAACTAGAAAAGTGACATATAAAAATCTACCCAACTGGTTAAAAGAACTTCGAGAATACAGACCTGAAATCCCATGTTTATGTTGTGGAAATAAAATAGATGGTGAGTATGCATAATTAACTGAACAGAGCATTAGTCACAATTCAATTATTATTCACAGCATTTTCCTTTTTTTTGGTGGGGGGAGGGCAGGGGGGGTTTAAATCTATTATACAGGTATAGTACATGTACTGATCTCTGGATCAACTCGACCTAGATTAACTTTACTCATATTCTGTAATCTTTGTTGTGCCCACTTTGCAGTGAGCAATGGGTTCACACCTTATATAGCATGCAGTGTATGACTATTTTGAATTAACTGTATCACAATAAAATTTTGGTAATAATGGCTCTTAAATAGTATTATTCTGAAATAATTTCAGGGTGGATAGGTATACGATTTTAGAATATCAGTATTTTGATGTCCACTGCATTAACATGTAAAGACTTCATTTAACATTTAAATTTTTATATTTTCTTTTTTCAGTGGATTATTCAATAACAAAGAAAGCTTTTACATTCCCTAAAAAACATGGCATGCCATTTTATTTTGTGTCGGCATCAGATGGCACTAATGTTGTAAAGGTATGTGATTTGGCAAACAAAATATTTTATTAAAACAAAAACAAGTGGCAGGAACCTAGTTTTCACCTGAAAGAAAAATTCAGTAAAGTTATGCAGAAATGAAATGTATTACATGTACTGGTAATCATATTATTGTAGTACTGTATACAGGGACATATTCGCCCCTGTTTATTGTCACCCCATTCACATTACCCTAATTCGGGCGAATTTAAAATGGGGCGAATTCAAAAAATAACAGTATATATATTTGATTAAAACTATGACAGGGCAGATTTAAAATTGGGGCTTTTTACAGTGCATATTTGTCCGCATTGGCGCAAGTGTGAAAGGGAGAATATAACATGGGGCGAAAATAAACCTGTATACAGTATATGTAAGAATATTCAAATAATGCAACATATGCCATGCTACTCAGAAATGGAATAGATTTTGCAACGTTTATACCTCCCTGACAAATTTCACCACTGGATTACATTTTGCTGAATAAACAATGATTTTCCAAAGCTGGATTGAAATTGCATTGAATATAAATCTTCACTGATTATTTATTCCATACTTGCAGTTATTTAAAGATGCAATTCGTGCTGCAGTAGCATACAAAAACAATTCTACAGATTTTATGGATGAAATTATGAGGGAACTGGAGGTGAGCTATTCTTATGTAATATGTATTGATCTAAAAACTGATCTTCACTCTAGGTGTGATAAAATTCATGAAATACACTGTAAATTAATCATGTAAATTATTTTTTATGCAACTATATGGTATATATTCTTTTAGAAGTCTATAATAAAACTTCTTGATACATACATGTAAATTTCTACAACTATGGAGTACATGCATGTATGAAGAATCAAGTACATATACTGTGGAATCACAAATATATTTTTTTTAGCTCACCTGAATCATATAAATTATTTTCACATTTTCATCTTCTTCTCAAGAACAAATTTCAACCATTGGTATATATTCTTTTAGAATGGCTAATCATGAATAGAGAAAAAATAATGGCATTTTTAAAAAATCTTCTTCTCATAACATGGGCCACATTCACATTTGTTCAAATCATGACCCCCAGGGTTAGGGTGGGGCCAAAATGGCTGATCAAAGTTTTGCATAGGAATATATAGGAAAAATCTTTAAAAATCTTCTTCTCAAGAACCACTGGGCCTGGAAAGATGAAACTCATGTGGAATCATCCTCAGGTAGTGTAGATTCAAGTTTATACTGTGGAATCACAAAATTTATATGAATATATAGGAAAAATCTTTAAAAATCTTCTTTTCAAGAACCACTGGGCCAGGAAAGATGAAACTCATGTGGAATCATCCTCAGGTAGTGTAGATTCAAGTTTGTTCAAATCATGACCCCCGGGGGTAGGTATGGCCGATCAAAGTTTTACATAGGAATATATAGAAAAAAATCTTTAAAAATTTTCAAACTTCATGTCCAGTGTAGATTCAAGTTTGTTCCATGACCCGCCGGGGGTAAGGGTGGGGCCAAAATGTAAAATTATATATAAAAATACATGGGCCAACTATGTGGAATCTCCTCAACAAATTTGTTCTACATCCACATAGGAATATATAGAAAAATTTTCTTCCCCTAACCTCCTGTGGAAGGTAATTCAAATTTGTTCCATGACCCCCCGGGGGTAAACCCCATAGGAATATATAGGGAAACCTTGTACTTCAAAGCCATGCTTAGAATTTATATGTGTGATTCTTAAATCATGACCCCCTGGGGGGGGGTAAAATTCAAGCCCCCCCCCCCCAGTAAACTTTCAGTACTTATGTTTTTTCCTAGCCAATTGCTCAGGTGAGTGATGTGGCCCCTGGGCCTCTTGTTATTTTTTTTGGGGGGGGGGGGAAATTTTCGTTGTTTTCGAGGTATGAAGAAACCCTCAAATTCATGTCCAGCACGAAATGTAAAATTTTATATACATAACTACTCAACAATTCTACATCTGCGAATTGAAATCCCCCAAACCAAGAATTTTTCCCCAAACCCCGAAAATTTGACCCCACGAAAATATGTGATTTTACAGTACTTGTTTTTGCTAAAAGAATTGTTTTTATTTTTCTCCAGAATTTTGAACTAGAGACAGATAATACAGCAAATGTGACTGATAGTGCATTAGACTCTGCCAGTAATTCAGAGGAGAAAAAAGAGGCCAAAGAAAATTCCTCCAGCTGAGAGTGGCTTTACTTAGCTATTATTTCCCATTGTTAAATCCATCATAATTTATTCTGAACTCCACGGGCCCTGAGTGAGCACTATGGAGATATATACCACAAATTTCACAGAGGTTGTGGGCGACTGCAGGCCATTATTATAGTGATCCACTAGTGCTTATTAATGCCAGATATTAATGTTACACTTGAGTTCTTCACAAAAATAAGAATAAGATACTGTATGCATGCAGTATTTTGTTGATTCTTAAACAATCTGTAGAAGGGTAGTAGCATATGTGTAACTTAAGGTTTTAAAAGATTATTTTTGAAGTAAGCTTATTAGAGAATCCAATGGCATATTATAAATAAGATGTGATCTGATTTGTTCAGTAGATCTGTAAAAGAAATTGATGATACTACATGTACATGTATTTATAGCTTACCTTGACAAAGATGTGATTTTCGTCAGTATGAGCAACTTTGTTGGCTCCATGTGTCAGAATTTTTAAAGCAGGTCCAATTCCAAAATTGTCTAAGCTGTAACTGAACCAAGCTTACATGGAGGAGTGCATACTAACCAGTAGGGCTGGGTATTGGCCCGAGATTTCGTATTGCGATATATTGCAATATTTTTAATTGTATTGCGATATGTATTGCAATATTTTCAATGTAAAAAAAATGTCATTTTCTTATTATATTTAATTTAATTTACATGCAGAATGTACATAACAGATGTCCAACACTGAAAAAAAGATTTTGTTGATTTCAATGTTATCTGAAATCCCTTATTTTAGGAATGGAAAATGATATTACCAAATTTTTTTGTCATAAATATATTGAAATATCTTTATATATTTTGGTACAACTATAATGTAGATATAATTTATTTTTGATTGCATTTTGTGATTTCCGTATTCTCTTAGAATTAAGTGAAGCTTATGATTGAAAAAAATGTTTTACTGACAGTGGTATTTCAAATCATCTTTCACAATAATATCATAGTATTTTGGTGTATGTATGTATATGTAATCCTTGTCTTGCCACGATGTCATCGTAGAAAGTAATATTTTTGCAACAATGTTTAGTTTTTCAAGTTCACACATTACAATACTATTGAAATTTTATTTTTACTTTTATAAAAAATGTTGAATTTTGAGATTCACAGATTCTTATGCTTGCAGTAGTAGCTTATTGTTAATAATTCAATTCAAACATAAAAGTGCCTATGATTTCATTTGTTTGAAACATGTGCAACATTCTGTATGTTCACACTTTTCTTAAGTTGGTCTTTTTGTAGAAGAATTTAAAATTCACCGTCTTATTTTTCTTGTACAAATAGAAAAAAAAACCAATGCATTTTTGATTATTTTTTTAAGCAGAATTTGAAAGCCAAGGATTTCAAAATATTCAATATACATGTGCATGTATTTGCTAAATAGATTAACTTTATTGGATAAGTTATCTGTAGGAATATGTATTACTGCACTTTCCTAAACTTGTGAAGTGATCAAACTTGATTTAGATAGAGTATTTATAAAGATGCTGTTCAATTAGATATTGGTTATGTACATGAATAATATATATAGAAGTATATAGCTGTGTTGGACCTACAAGTTTAAACATCCATCCTTGTTCAATTAAATAAAAAAAATCTGCATCATCCTTCGGTTAGATTTATGCATTTGTACATCTTTTATCTAATCAAGAGATCATAGCTGGTATTGGTTGATTAATAGTGGAAAACTTTCTTAAGGACAGATGATACAAAGTTTTGTCGAAAAATTTGAAATAGCAATTCGAGTTCTGTTTAGTATAATGAAAACATATATTTAACCACATAGTTTTTAATTTTTCATTCAAAGTTTCACAAAAATTGGATTTAAAGTAAAAAAAAAAATTGTATAGATTAATAAGGATGATTGCAGAAAAGTAGAATTTTGAGAATCATAGGAGGTTTACAATGTACAAAAATATAATTATTCCAATCCAGCTTTACACCGGCAAGTGGTGGCATCTCCATTTGAGTGAAAGATTTTCGAGAGGGAATATAAACAACAACAAAAAATAAAATTAAATAAAAAGTAAGTAAACATTAGGAGTTGATTTCTTAGCAAAAGTCTTCAGACATGAAATAAATCTCAAAATATCAAAATTAAAAATTTTGATTTAAGTCTGTTTCATAGAAGGCTACGGTGGTAGAATTTGACCGATGCAGTAAGTAGCAACATCAGATTTTTTGTTCAAAATGGAAACATCAAACAGCAGAATTAACTCAGTTTATAGTCTTGGGACCTGGAAAATTAGAAAGTGGTCTGCTTCTTTATTTGTTTGACTAAACAAATTTCACATTTAACGTGCACAATTTCATGTTATTTTAAAATTTTAATAGAATTTATATATGCATACGAAAAGTGTGGGCATTAAAGCATACATTTGAAATTTAGTTTATTAATATTCTCTTTGAAGTTTAAATAGATGTACTTAAATATTTTAGTCTAACATGATCCGGGTTAAATACTGCAAATATTCTTTTTGAAAATTTGATTTAATATTTAGTGCTCACTGCTTGAAGTGTTTTACGATGAATCAATATCTTGCATGTATCAGATATTCATGTCACATCGGATATACTTAATTGCATAAGGAAAAGAAGCTCCATTTTTCGATGCAATTAAGTATACCCCTTGGACTAATTAGCAAAAGAGGTACGGTAAGTACCTGGTAAACACCAAAGAATACCCCACTATATCTTTTTTAAAAAGCCTATTCTAAATTTTGAAAGTGTTTCATTGAACTGCCCAAAATGACCTTGGTTTTAAAAAATTGATACAACCTCTAGTCATGTGATCTTCGAGTGAGATATGGACATCAAATGATTCTCCGTTAGAAAATTATGGACTTAACATTAATTTCATATTTTTTCCTACCAGACTGGTGACTTTGAACTTGTATATTTAATGTAATAAATCTTTGCTTGATTTTCAACTTCAAACAAAAAAAATATATTACTTTTTCTGCCGGTGATCTTAAACTTTCTGGATGACTTGGGTCATGGCCAATGCATACCTTAAAAAAGTTAGTTTAAATATTATTTATATAAAGTGAGAACCTCTTATCCAATTTATATACTGGAAATGAATTTAACACGTTTTCTGCAGGCGCGGATCCAGAAATTTTTTCCTGGAGGGGGGGGGGGCGTTGTCCACCCCAGTCCAAAAATAAGAATCCAACCCAGAAATTTCTTGACAAGCAAAAAAGAAAAACCACGGGAATTCGCCAAAAACTTCAAAAACCTATTTCAGGGGGGTGGGGGTTTAGTCGATGACTTCTAATGCTTCAAACCTTTTGATTTTTTTCATACCTTTTACGCAAATTCGCGTTTACCGGGGGGGGGGGGTGTCTGCGTTTTCCGAGGGGGGTCCAAGGTAACTTTTTGCCTGTTTTAGTATATAAATTTAGTAACCTTGCAAATTCCGGGGGGGTCCTGACCCCTCCTCTAGATCCGTGCATGGTCTTTTTACAAGTTCTAGGTCACTGACAGAACAATGTTTAGATCATGATGCACCTTTAAGCCTTAATCATGATCAGCAACTTTAAATTACAGAGTTATAGACCGGAACCAAAAACACAACTTTTTCACTGACCTTGAACTTGGTGGAATAATCTTGGGTCATGGACAGTTTATACCCTCAGATTATATGCAGTATTGGTGATAAGTATGGACTCCTAATGTTCTCCATTACAAAATATGATCATGCCAGGAAAACAAACATTGAATTTAATTAAATGACCTTGGGTCAAAGTCTTGATGCATCTTCAGGTATTAGCAATTTTTGTACCAAATACGAACCACAAATGGTTCTCTATAAAGAAGATCTTACAAGGATTAAATAGTTTTTCTGCTTGTGACCTTCAACTTGTTAGAATTACATTTCTCATGGTCATGACTTACCCTCAGAAAAAAACCTTTGTTTACTAAGTATGATCTTGCAGTGATTCTCTATTATAACATTATGTAAACTGGACGAAATTGCACGGACAGACATATATGGACATCTACATTTTCCAATGGAAAGTAATATTCATATTTACCCCTTTTCAGATGGCTTATTAAATTTCTAATCTTTACCAATAGGAAAACTGAAGAATTAAGCAATCTATTTGTTTCCTTCACATTAAAAGAGTTCAGAGTACCACAATGTACTTAGCTATTGTCAGATTTCAAACATTATGCTTCACGACCGATTGCATTTGAAATTTATTGTCAATACTAGTAGTGTTTTTTTCTTCAAGAGATGAAAACTTTGCCTCAAATTAATTTTCTCCACATTTTAAAGGATTAAAAAGCATGCAAGTATTGAGACCATTTCTTGGGAAGAATAAGTACAAGGTGTTATTTAATGTTGGAATTATTATTATTATTTCGTGATTTAATTTTGCTGAAGTTGCAATGTTGCAATTTTAATAATATCTTTTAAAAATATTTTTTCCATCCTCTATTATGGAAAGTTTTGTTTTTCCATGTTTTTCGGCCCTCACTAAATTTTATCACATGGCCGATCCACTTCATTTCTCATGAAAGTTTTTAAATTGTTATTTATTTCTTTACTAGGTTACGTGCCCACGGGGTTTATTTTATCCCTGCATTCACAAAGAAAACATTTTATTATTTATAAATTTAAAAAAAGTACAAAGTAAAATATGGAAGAAGGATACGGAGATAACGAATAGTATTCAATAAAAAGTCCATAAAACAATTCAAAATAGGAGCAGAGCAAACATGGACCTCCAAAACATCAGAGGTAGGATCATATGTCATGGAGGAGTAAGTTTCCCCTGCTGACCGGTCACACCCGCCGTGTGCTCCTTGTATAGCTGCAGATCTGTAGCTCTCCGAAAAAAAAATATATTCAATTTGATAGACCGGAGAGCTACAGTGCCACCCATTGAAAAAACTGTATATTTATTGCGCTCGGTTCTTGATTAATTCTTCAAAATTCTTACCTCAGTTGAAAATAAGGAAAGATTTCAAAACATTTCTTTATCTTCTATCAAGTACTCTCGTAGTTGACATCCGAACGAAGCATATTGGACCGAATTATCTTTGAAACCAAATTGGCAGTATAAATAAGTGAAATGTTCGATGATTACAATATCAGGGTCAGGAGGACTATTATCAACAATTATGAGGAATGTTTGGTTGTGGAAACAGCGAAAGAATATGTTAGGAACACACGGTTAGTAATATTTTGAGATTACAGTTTTAAAAACATGGAGAAATAAATCGAGAACCGAGCGCACTTTTTTGTGCGCAAAAAATATACAGTTTTTTTCAATGGGTGGCACTGTAGCTCTCTGGTCTATCAATATATTTTTTTTCGGAGAGCTACAGATCTGCAGCTACTCCTTGTAATGACAGGGAAACAGCGGAAAAATCGTCGTCAATTCAGTGTATAGACAATGGACTAACAACGAGTATGAAAAACGTCAGTCAGCATTTGACTCAATGATAAATTGTATTTGCTGACAAGGTCATTGAACTTACGAAATGATGACTTTAAACGAGACCGCTGATATTTGTTTCATCAACTTGCTTGTCAATAATTTACCTCGTTTTAGAAATTGTCCATACATAGAGCATGCTATTGCGGAACAAATCAACTGAGACATATACACTCCGCATGCAGGTGATGAAGGTATATTACTGCATAAGTAAGGGAAGTTGACGATATAAAGGTTACAGTCATCACGTTTATCATATAGCTTGGATTTTAGATTACCAATAACGTCTTTTTCAAGTAAAATATCCAAGTATGAGGCAGATGTGTCAGACTCTGTGGTATCTCTATCTCAAGCTCACCAGGATATATCGTATCGACGTAGGAATGGAAATTACCATTGTTAAATGACAATACGTCGTCGATATATCTAAATGTTGAGTCATCAGAAGGAAAACGACAGAGGATTGCTATTTAAGGTAATAAAGTCATAAAATGGGGAAATTTGACTGTGCTACCAAAAGGGCCCTTTCAATGAAGAACTTCACATGAAAGTTAAATGTGAGTACGTACGTGCAGCCCCCTCCCTCTTCCGATACTATTTTTGTGAGTGAATATTACGTTTTCACGGTCCGTCTATTAAATGAGGTTGTATTATGTTTTTTTTGTTCGAACCTCTCAAATGGTGCTTTTTATTGAACTCACTTAAGTTTGTGTCGTCTCCTCCTCACCTACCGCGCATTTGAAAGCATTTTATAGCATTTGTCTATACCCATCATTGCGTCTTTGCTGCTATTGATTACTTTGAGTCTGTTACAAAATGCATGTTTTCTTTGTTGCTTTGCATATTTTTTTTTAAAATCACATACAAGATTAAAGTTATTTGCGCTTGCTTTTATATTTATGTATTTTTGGTAGAATATATGTATCGCTGTAATCATTTTAATACATATATATCAATGTTTCGAATAGCAAATCATTTCACAAGTACTCTGAAGTTGACATAAAAAATGCTTGAGTTTCTGATTGACAATATCTATGTAGTTTTTGGCGATCTATGATACATGTGATGATTTTAACTTTACAATCGTCAGCATGCCTTATTTATGCAGCAATATACCTTCATAATCTGCATACAGAGTTTATATATCTCAGTTGATTCGATACGCAAGAGCATGCTGTACGTATGAACAGTTTCTAAAACGTGGTAAATTATTGACAAACAAGTTGATGAAACAAGTATTTCTGCGGTCTCGTTTAAAGTCATCATTTCTTAAGTTCTATATAATGACCTTGTCAGCAAATACAATTTATCACTGTGTCAAATGCTGTCTTACATTTTTCATACTAATTGTTAGTTTTTTATTCACTGAATTGACGACAGATTTTTCCGTTATTTCCCGATCATGACAAGAAGCATACGGTGGGTGTAACCGGTCAGCAGGGGATGCTCACTCCTCCATGTCACCTGATCCCACCTCTGATGTTATGGAGGTCCGTATTTGCTCTGCTCCTATTTTGTATTGTTTTATGGACTTTTGATCTTGAATACCGTTTGTTATCTCCATTTCATTCCTTATATTAAAACAGATTCTTCATCAATTAAAATGGGAATGTTCTATTACAAACATAGAATATAGTCTTTTTAATGAAAACCGGGGTATTAAGCTTAAAACTAAATGGTACAAACTTTAGGTCGCTCGACATGGGAGAGCCAGACAAAGTACCTTTATGTTATGTTATCGAATGATAACAATTTAATAATGAATGGTTTAACAATATTGCTTTACAACATATAAGCATGCAAATGTATTTATACTCAGTATACGATTTAATTGTTTGATTTTTTTTGTATTGTAGTGACTTGCATCTTTTCTAAAACGTAAGTGATTTCAAGAACAATTAACAAATCTCTAAGTGGAGCAAGGTGATCAAACACTAAAGCTGGGATGAACAATTGTTCTTGCTGTGGTTCTGTATGGTTTGAAATAACAAATAGTAGTCACCTTTAAAATTGCATGTCATTCTATTATCTCCCAAGTGACATAGCGTAATTAGCATGTATATCAACTAATTTGTTTTTCTTTCATGTTTTGATAGATGCACATCAATATTTTACCATAAAACGGTTGCAGGAATATTTGATTTTCCTAAATATTAAGTTTCCTTTTCAAACAGATTTCAAGAGTAACTGCATGTGCAGTTTACAAATAATCATGGAGTAAGCTTATTTGCACCAAGTGTTTGGTAATTCGATAATTGTTATAAAGGAAATGTACATTTATGTTGCTCTATCCATATTCCTAAGCGGTTTTCTCAGCATGAAAATAGGGATATTTCTGGTTTCTATTGTGTTTTCTCTGTTTTTACCTGGCCATATTGTCTACGGAGGAATTTCGGTTGCATTTACCCCTAACAAAAGACTGTCTGGATTTTTAATGGAAAAAATATCTCCCATTGGAAAAAAGATGTGCGTTAAAGAGTGTGCCAAAAGGGTGTCTTGTGCCTCGCTTAATTTTCATAGAGGTCGGTTAGAATGTGAGTTGTCCTTCAAAGATGGATCAACAAACCCAACAAATCTGACATCTGATAAAGAATATGTCTATATTGAAAGGAAAGAAATACCACAGGTACATGTACTACATTTTTCAAATTTTTTTATTTATCTAGTACACATAGCGTTTTAGAATGATTGTCTTTATTTTAATACAGTCAATATAATGGAATTCTAATATAAAAATATGATAATTTGTTTAAGGATATCCGATCCTCAGCCATGAAGGATAACTCCAAAAATTGATATTTGATTTTAAATGCATCAAAATGAAGCTTGAAATTTTTTTTTCATGCAACAATTTTCATTTTATTCATCTTTATAAGATTCAAGGGTTTTGGAAGTCTTAGATAAGGTTTTATAAAAGTTGACATTTGTATTCTATAAAAGGGAAAAAAAATTAATATAGTTTTAGAGAAACAAGATTTTCTTGAATCCAGCCTTAGATACCAATGCTCATTAGCAAGATATGAAATAAAAAGTGATTTTCAGTGTCTTTTAATGATAGCAAAAGCCTTTTACACTATGTATTATAGAATACATAACCGAAATAGAAGACAAAAAATACCAAATAAGTATAAAAATCATGACAATTTTTCTGAATGGCTACCTATCGTTTTTTAACCTAAAATATATTTGTTGATCAATTTGCAATTAGAAAATGCATTTCTGATATTCCAATTTGCTTTTTCTGCAAAAATATTGTTGATTTGAAAATTTTCCTATATAACATGATTAACTTTAATCTTCAATTTTAAAGAAATACTGTGGATAAAGTTACATAACTTTGTGGATTCAGAGATACTTTTATGAGTATTTTTGATTACTTAACTGCTAATTTTATAAGCCTGAGGATCGGACTACCTTAAAGTTTATAATTATGTTATAGGTGCAATGAGTTGCAAATTGAAAAATTAAGATACTGTGAATAATCAATTTACAAAATAATGTCCCCATGCACTCCAAATGAGTACAAATGTATAATGGCAAAGTACTTGTTTAGCTATGGGAAACCCTAACTATGTGTCAAATCAAAAGTTTTAAAGTGGCATGGACACAGTTCCATGCAGCTTAAATTTCTCAAAGGTATTTTTCAATTTTTAATGTTTACAAATGATTTCTAATGATTATCAAAATTTTGAATTTCAGTTGTCGAGATACAAGACAAATTTAGAATTCCAAACCTTTGTTATATAAACAAGGTCCATGGCATGTTTTTATTTAAATAGGTTTAATACACTAATATATGCTCATTCAAAGCAGAATTTTCAATAAAGAAAATTTTAAATACCACAGTGTGTTAAACAGTTTCTAGTTTCCTGAGCACAAGCCTTGTTTACATTATTAAGAATTTTAAGTTCTGTATCTGCTTAGTAAATCGGCAAATGATGTTCTAATTTTTGCTAATCATTTTAATTCCCTAAATTTTATTCAGTGGTATAACAAAAGTAGTTGGGTACCCAAAATATAAAATGAATGTCAATATCCATGTTTTGCTATGGGAAACCCGAAGTATGTGTCTGATGAGGTTGGAAAATAAAAAAACAATGCACAATGGGACCATGTAAAAAAGACTGTTTGAAAGCTGCATTAAATTTCATTCGGTGGTAAAGGAGGAGTGGAGGATTTGAGATGTGCAGACCCAAACGTCACAGACGACAGGACGGACCGAGGGACGGCTATCTCAACACTATTTATCCCTATTTTTTCAAACGTGGGTTAAGAATATGTCACTTTTCAATATTAAATTCGAAAAATAAATCGTTTTGACGAACTAGTACCCCCTAAACTCAAAATGATCCGTGAGCATGGATAGTGCAATCAATGCATTGAAGCATATGCGGAACAAAACATGGTTGTCCAGGATTTTTATTTGTCTGTATCTCGTGTCGTATTTTCATTCAAGTGTTTCAAAAATTAATTTCATGCAATCTTTCTTTACGAACACTTTCGTATTTTATTGATTGTATGTGTCAAGATTATAATTATGTTGTTGTTGTTGAAAAAAAATCTATCTTTTTTTTAATTTATAGGTGTATATTGAGACATGTGATGCATCTTGTTCACCCCTAGGAAGTTGTATTCAGACAGCTACGGGACCTAAATGTATCCAATCAGGTTCCTATTTTTTTTTACGTTTTATATCAAATAAGATTTATAATTTTTTTTATACATGTAACACTAAATAACGGAAAACACAAAGATGGGAGATATTCTTTTTATTATAATTGAATGATTTTTTTCTTTATCCAGTACTAATTATTTTACATATTGATTTTGAGTGTGGGTTTTAAAGGGAAATCTCTAAAGTGGGTAGGCTGGGTGGCGATGGTTTAAAATAAGATGTGGTAAGGCCAGGAATTAATTATTTTTCAATGCAATATTGATTTTGATTTACATGATGACGTTGGGTCAAGTCTTCACACATAATCGTTGTACGAAGTATGAACTTCCAATGTTTGTATACAAATAAGTTAGAGTAGACTAGACCTGTCCTGACTTTTACGCTTTTTATGAATTTATTGGAATGATCTTGCATTAAGGTCATGACACACCCTCAGATGTATGAGCTTCCGTGATTCTCCATCATAAAGTTGTAGTCTGGTCAAGATTACACGGACAGACGAACAGACAGCTACATACTCCATCTTTGTATTCGGTAAAGGGGGGTATAATAAAAACCTAATACCAGATACTAATCAATCTTTTACCTATATGAACAAGATCAAATCTTAATTGAAATGCTGACAATTTTTTTTAGTTTTTCTAATATAAAAACAGTTGTTCTATACTCCGTGCATTAATCTTTGAATGATATATAGCTGATTAAACATGAAAATACACTGATTTTTAGAAAGACCATGTCAATAAAATAAATTAACAAAATTCATATCTAAGTGATCTATTTCAGACTGCCCATCAAATCATCCAGATGCAAACACTACTTCAGTCAAGGTCACATCCACTAAGGTCGGTACTGTTCTTACCTTGACCTGTACATCTTATCCCTCCATAAACCTGACCTCAACCTGCAGAAGCAACGGAACTTGGTCATCATCCTCATCTTCGTGCAAGACACCAGGTTTTTCATTCTCAATTTCATAATTTTTTCATCCAATAAAATAGGTAAATGATTGCTGTTTCAGGTAACTGTATACTGTAAACCCATTGTTTTTCGCGTGTAAGAAATATTCGCGACCTACTTTAAGTCACGAAATAAAGAATATTAATCGCCGCGACAAATTTATTTTGCTTTGTTTTTGTAAAAAATGTTTCCTTATTCGCGAAAATTATTCGCCGCAAGATTAGTTTATTGTTGTGAATGAATTAAAAATTTGGCTTTCGTAAAAACACTCTTCGAGAATTGATAAATAACATTTATTTTCAATTCTTAAGACTGCCCTGACCTTCATCCCGACGCGACCTTAACTTCGGTCATGGTCACAGCCACAAAGGTCGGAACTATCCTTACCTACACCTGTAACTCTGACCCCTCAATAACCTTGACCTCTACCTGTAGGAGTAATGGGACCTGGTCATCGCCAGCCTATGTATGTGGACAACAGTCTAACCCGCCAGGTATTTTAGTTCTGTACATTCATTCTGAGATGATATATGGAAAAAATAACGAACAGTTATCAAAATACAAATTAGGAGCAGAGCAAACACGGACCTCTAAAACATCAGAGGTGCATGGGATCAGGCGCCTAAAAGGAGTAAGCATTCCTACTCATTGACAAAACATTAGCAAATGATCATACATTTCAGTTATTTCCACTCTCTCTTTCAGACTGCTTTAATATCACGAATTCCTGTTGGTACAAGTACAACTTTACCCATGGCAATGAATTTAATGGATGTGCAGGTGGTCCAAGATATGTCAAAGAAACGGGATATACATCTGCTCCACTGGTAGGGGTGGTTTTGTGTTCTCCTACAAGGTAAAAAAAAGTCATTTTTGCCATTTCATTTACGTATATGTAAAGGAAATTAATGATTAACGCTTTAGGGTACCCATCTCTTATCCGCAACTCCTCTTATACCACTGAGTGAAATTTAATGAAACTTTAAAAGAATCTTTATTACATATTGCCATTGTGCACCTTCTATTTTACTTTTTGATCCGACACATATTTTGGGTTTCCCGGCCACAGCAAAACATGGACTTTGTCATCAGTTATAACCATATGGGAAGCGGGGGGTATCATTTAGTGAGCTCATTGCTCACAGTACCTCTAGTTTTCAATACGTTTTTTATATAAGAACATCAAAAATTGTAATATAGGCCATTCAGGTAATTACCCGTATGGAATATATAAGAAATATTACCCTGTGGTATCTTGTCCAAATGCCTGGTAAGGTACCCTAATTTTTTGTATGGAAACTTGTTTAAGTACCTAGACTTCAATGACAAATTCTTGGGAAAAATTATATATTTTTGAGGAACGTGTCGTCTGACCTTAATTTAAAAAAAATAATCATATACATGTGTATATATAGTAATGAATACAACACAATCCACTGCATACTGGAGCAACATGAAACAAGTGAAAATCTTTATAAGCATCAGTCGTGATGTTATATTGATTAAGTGGTTAACCATTTTGGCACATTTTATGGGTTAGGTTTAAAACTGTCAATTCTGCGAGAGAAAAAACAAATCTCAAAACAATGGTCCCCGAGAACAATTCTCTCTTTCACGAAATGGTCAGTTCTTAAGTCTTTCCTGTTTCACAAAAACATCTAATATTGACATGAATGAAGACTGCACCGGATATGTAAATTGATTGAAACATACAGTGTATCTGAAAAAAAGTTATCGCAACCCTTCCTGATTGTTTTTTTTTTTTTTTTTTTTTTTGTGGAATACAGGTTTTCAGTCTTTAAACGAGTTGTCAAATATATTGTTGGTTCACTTGCATTTCAGATATAAATTATTCCTTGGTGAAAACTTAACAACGACATTTTACAACATTGGAGACGGGAGCGGATCAGGACAGGATCACTGTGAACTTGTCGGTGGATCCCAAAGTACTGCTATAATACCAGGAGATTATCCCCAGTCTCCAGCTGTCACAGGTACAGTGGCTGGAACGTTATTGTTGACAACTTACACGAACGATCACGTTACACGAACGATTCCGCACGATTAACGCACGATTGAACCTGTTACACGAACGATCTTTCACGTTCACGATTCTACACGTTACACGATCTTGCACGATTGTTGACGCAAACGCACGTTTCTTCACTCAAAATAGTTCAAAATATTTAGGAATTAATATATTCAAAACGAAATAAAGCTTAATACTTATTTAAGATTTCAAAAAATTATTAATATTATTTCATAAACTTTGAAAAAAAATGGAAAATGATATTTTTTGTAACTAAATATTTGCAAGACTAAATATTTCAGATTAAAAGTAATTATTTCTAAGGTAATTCTCTGATCAAAGAAAACGGATTTTGTTCGTTCTATTAGACTGTGTACATGTATGTGGGTCGTATAATTTGATTGAATTAAATATAATGATATGAAGAAAGGGGGATACGATTCAACAAAAATGGCAGCATTGAATGACTTAAATAATAATTATAAATTTTATCTTTATGTTTCCATTTATTCAATGTCTGATAAACTTTCTAATTATTCAACTTTTTTATTTGCAGAAATTTAAAATAAATGAGTTACAAATAAATTCAAGAGATAAACACAGATAATCAAAACTCCAGAAAATCATGCCGTGTGCATGTATATTTGTCGATTAACTACATGTAGCTATGTAAGCATTGAGAAATTTTTATTTCTTTGAAAAAAAAAATCATTTTCAATGAATTGATTTCAAGATTATCTAGACCACAATAGAAAGTAAATAATAATTAAATCAGATTTTTCAGAAAGGCGTAAGAGATCTAAGTACGGTTTAACACAATATTGATCGCGCTATTCGACGAGAATTGAATATTGTACGACTTACTTTATTGCTTGTTTACGAGCGATAACTAGTTCGTTCTGCATTCTATTATCTTAATTGTTCATTTTCATTTAATTTTGATTTTATTTAATCAATTAAGAAAAACCAACAAGGGAAATGCTTATTTTAGAAATAACATTCCGATAAAAACTTACAAAACGAAATTTACACGATTCTAAACGCACGATCTCGCACGATTAAAAACGCACACGATTGAGTCTGATACACGAACGATCTTTCACGTTAAACGAACGATCACTCACGATACACGAACGATTCTACACGTTTTGTTTGTCAACAATAACGTTCCAGCCACTGTATATATCATCTCTCTCTCTCTCTCTCTCTCTCTCTCTCTCTCTCTCTCTCTCTCTCTCTCTCTATATATATATATATATATATATATAATCCAATAAAAAGTCTCAATGGTCGGAATTAGATACTTAAAATAAAGAAGAAAAACACGAAAAAAAATTTTTGTAAAGCTTCTGAAGATAGAATGAAAGGCCTAAAGCTTCACTGAAGTTTTTCGTGTTTTTAATGTTTTATTTTATTTTATATATATATATATATATATATATATATATATATATATATATATATATATATATATATATATATATATATATATATATATATCCTAATCCCTTAATTCCTGTACAACATTAATCCATTTACAGGTTACTATCGAAAGTATGAGGGAGCGGAATTTCAATTTGGAAAGATTGGCGCAGCGCAGTCATCCTACTGGCTCAACTCCTATCTGGAATGCGGCATATCAATTCCGGGAACGGGCACCTTACCGTAAACAGGAAATTTTGTACCCACAAGATTTTAGTTTTCTTTTTCCACCAGATTACATGTATATATAAAGAGTAGACTTAATTTTACTTTTTTTTAATTTACGTATATTATATACACTTATGTACTTCACAAAACTTCTTAAAACTTCTAAGTGTTCACTTTAATAAATGTATTTATTTAAAAAGTACATGGTATGAAATTTTCAAACTATTATAACCGATGTGTCTCCTTTATAATTGTCGAAAGCAAATCAAATATCACCGATAAAAAGCAAAGTCCCGTGACGAAACTTTAAACAATAAATCGGTACTTTGCGGCACGTGCTTTAAGTAAAACAAAAAACGCAAAACATTGGTAAAATGACCATTTAGGAAGGAGGGAGAGCCGTTGGAATGTTGGTGTTTTTATCATCCTAGTGACAAGTTATACTCAATTAATTTTATTTTAATGTTCATCTGTCCTTGATATAACGTTTAAAAATTAACAACCAGTCTCAAAAATCATATAAACACAGTTTCCTATAGCTTGTACGTCATTTTCATCGATAATTTGCAACAATTTGAAAGCTTTAGATAAATTTTAATCAAACCGGAAGTGATTGGGATCTTCGTCGAAGGACAAGGTTTTGCGTCACAACCAGGTTAAAATATTGTTACATGGCCCTGAACCAATTAAGAAACAGATTTAAATCAGTCAGTACAATGGCAAGAAAATGGCAACAAAGTGGTGCTCATGATAGTCCAATATCATCTCAGACACTCTGAATCCTCCTTAAAGAGGAACACCTACGTGTCAAACGACCAAGGAGGTTTTAGTGTAGACCAACGGGTATTTGACGAGATATAAAATTTTCGCAACATCAGACTGAAATATGCATTATTAATTATGAATTTAAGAAACTAGCTATTGTATGCATTTGTTCTTTATAACTTAAAAATGTCAGGTGAACGCTTAGAAGTTTGGTTCAGTGTACAGTCTGGAAACGTGCCATAGCATACACAAATAACATAAAGAAATTAAAATATAATTGACTTTTTCACAATCCACTAGTAGTTGCATAAGGAACAATGAAATCATGCACATAAGATTTGATATTTTATAAAAGGTGTTTGTTTTTACTTACTTTGTACTCATTTTTTGTGAAAATAAATTTCCTCAGTCATCAATTACGATGTATAGTTTATTCCGTTTCACTTGATGATTCGTGGTTTTCATTCCAGATTATTACAGATCTAGAGAATGGAACAATGCCCAAGTGGTATTCTGAATTCTTTTAAACTCTAGAAATGCAAATATAAGGTTGAATTATTCCCCCTTCCCTTTTGATAAAGATGTAAAATGAATATGTAGTAAAAAGTCTGAAAACTGGCAAATACCCTTGGATAGGATTTTTTTAACCTCATGCAGTTAACACTGAAGTTCCTTCATCTAAGGCTCAAGTTGGGTTAAATTATTTTCTGATCGTTTGATTTTGAAACCACTTGGAAGCTTTCAGAAATGGTTTGGAGCAAATTCTTCCTATCAACATTAATTTGTGGCCACAAAATCTAGGTATATAGAATTATATTATACCTGCATTAACAAAGGCAGCATTTTATCATTTACGTAAACAAAGCAAGGTGTGGAAATTAAAAGAAAAGAAAGAAAATTGACAGTGCAAGCCAGAAGAGGGGTTTTCATCTATCAATAAAGAACATACTAAAAATCGTGAATGCTACATTCTTTGTGTGAATACATGTATTGCGCCTTATAAGCAAATGCGTATCAACTGAAATTGGATTTGGATGGGAAAGTTTTTGTTTGAACCACTCAGATGATGTTTTTTTTATGAACTCACTAAAGTTTATGTTGTCTCCTCCACACCTAACCCCGTGCCTCCTTCTCTGCATATAACATAATGAGCTACAAACGTTAGACAGAAAGCATTTAATAGCATCTAAATACCTATCCTTAACATTGCGTCCTAGCTAGTATTAATTACTTCAATTTCGTTATAAAATGAAATAAAAATGTTTGTTTTTTTCGCTTTGTGGCAACGCACTTTGAAAAAATTATGCACTTTGAAAAAAATTTTCAAAGTGCGTTAAAATTGGGACAAAATCAACGCACTTTGAAATTTTTTTCAAAATGCGTTAAATTTGGGACACACTCAACGCACTATGAAATTTTTTCCAAAGTGCGTTAAGAGTAAACATCAACATTTTTTACCAAGGGGGAATTTAACGTACTTTGAAAAAAATATGTATGAAACAAAAGTTCTAGACTAAGATTTTAGTAACTGAGAGAATTAATTTGTAATAATTATATCTTTCGAAAAACTTTTTAATTTACATGTATTGATTTAACTTCATTGAGAACAAGGAGAAGACGAGTAGAAGATCTTTTAGCCCAACTATTTTTTACATAGCCGACGGTAGCAAATTGAACATGGACCCCCCCCCCCCCCAAAGGTACTAGTAAGCCCAAATTTTCAATGTCTATTATGTATATCTTTGTAAACATTTGTGTGTTACTAAGCCCCCTCCCGGTACCGATGCCTATGCTACACCCAAATATATGTATTTGCATAACTACCGTGACGTTGAAAACTTTCAATAAATAAATGCATGCAAACTGTAAAAAATTAAGTTCAATAATACATTTAAGAGAGAAGGAATTTTCAAAGTATGGAAAAATCAAAATCGCTCATTTTCACATCCTGAAGTGACCTTTACACCGAAAAGTTATCCAACAGGTTCAATTATTTATCATACCTATGATTTGCAAGAATATCGACCATATAATTCTTTTTTCAAAAATGCGTTAAGATGGTCGATATTAACGCACTTTGAAAAGAAATTTTATTTTTTCAAAGTGCGTAATTTTTCAAAGTGTGCGTTATAACAGCGCTTCCTCTTAAATTGTTAATCATACATTATAGCTATTTACGCTAGATGATCGGTCGTCATGGAAGACCCACACCTACCTTTAAGTTATACCATCATAAACAATTTAATAATGGATAGTTTCGTCTTTGACAATATTGTCTTTAAGGCAAAATAAAATTTAGCAAACGTATATACTGTTTATTTGTTTAATGTTATTTGTAATGCAATGACTAATATCCTTTCTAAAAGGTAAGTGATTAAATAATTAACACATCAAATATAAGCGGAGTAAGGTGATCAAGAACTGTGTCGTGATCTGGGATGAACAAATGTTCTGGTATGTGTTAAACGGACATGGACACATGTTCAGCTAAAAAATCAAATTCATTTTCCTTTTTTTATGTTTACGAATATCTAACTAAGGTATTTTTAATAATTATGTAAAATCTGAATTTCAGTTGTCGATCGAGATACGAGGCAGATTTAGAGCTCCAAACATTTGTCAAGTAAACAGGGTCTCTCGGTCATGTTTTAGTTTACGTAGGTTAAATATACTAATTTATGTTTGATCAAAGCCAATTTTTTCAATAAAGAAAATCATTCTAAATACGATTAGACAGTTTGCAATGATTTGCTGAATCTCCTTTTGTTTTAAATATGTATTTTCTCCATGTAAACAAAAACAAGGCACGAGCCGTATTTACCTTATGTAGAATTTTGAGTTCTTTATCTTTTTTTGTAAAGCAACAATTATTTTCAAATTTTTGCTGATGATTAGAATTGCCTTAATTAGTGATTGTAAATGTTAAAATTGGTTTGAAAAAAAAAATCAGTTGAAACTATGTCCTTATCCCTTTAATTCTGGTTCTTCTCATTTAAATAGTTGGACTTAATTAACAAATTAATTAATAATCAGCTTCGATATTTCTTGCAATCCTAATGTCACTCTATTTTCTCCCAAGTGACAAAAACATAAACATTCACATGTATATCAACTAATTTTTTTTCCTCTTTCATCTTTTGATAGATGCACGTCAATATTTTACCATAATATGATGGCATGAATATTTGATTTTCTAAACTGGAAGTTTACTGTTCAAACGATTTTGAAAAAGAACCTAATTAAGAAGTAACTTCATGTGAAATTTACATATAATCATGGAGTGAAGCTATTTGCACCAGCTGTGTAACACTTCGATATTTGTAATAAATGGTCGTGTACATGTATATTATGTAACTCTGTCCCAATTCCTAAAAGATTTCCTCTACATTTGTTGTTTCTCTAGTGTTTTTCCTTTTTTGTACGTGACCATATTGTCTACGGAGGGAACTCGATTGCATTTACCCCTAACAAAAGGCTGTCTGGATTTGTTATGGAAAAATATCCCCATCAAGATGTGCGTTAAAGAGCGTGCCAATTTTAAGGGTGTCTTGTGCTTTGCTTATAGGCCGGTTGGAATGTGAGTTGTCCTTCAAAGATGGTTTAACAAACTCGTCGAATCTGACTGCAAATAAAGAATATGTCTATACTGAAAGAAAAGAAAAATTAAAGGTACACATATTCTAAACTTTTTAGAAACTACACTGATGTACTTTTTTAGAAATTACAACACCTTTTTATCATTTTATTTGTAATTTGACTCTAGAACGCCCATGTCTTAATTTACTTGTAGGTTACGTAAGCCTACAATCGCTGCTGAAGGCCTAAGGTCAAATTTCATTCAGCCTCTATTCTTCAACAATAACAACCTATATTTCAATATATCCGAAATCATCGTAGGCGATTTATTTGACTAGTTAAAGTAACCAAAGTTGTCTTAAAAACAACAATTTAGTTATGAATTTAAAGAGATCAAATCTTGAAGTTCCATTGTGTTCCGAGAAACCTTTTCGCAGAAATACCCACTTGAGCTAAATTGGGAATAAATTGATTATATGTTGATTGTTGATCTCATTAAATTATACAAATATTGCTACTTTAAGGTCAATGTGATGATTCATTCTTAGTACCTGACCATAAATGGGACAGTCCAGTTTGACCTGGGGTAATCTGATATTACGATTAATATCATATTGCTTACTAATAATGAACTTCCAAAAGGGGAATTTTTAGTCTGCAAGAATAAAGGAATGTTATCAAAGCAATGTTTTAAGGAAATGTGAGTCAACATGCACGAACCACGTTTTTAGCATTTAAAAATACACAAATACTGGTCTACTTATGTTTTATTCTCAGGTACTTCAGAAACTGGATATTTACATTGTCTTTCAAACTATAAACTTAAAGAACTACCACCTATCGCGCCTCAAAAATACCCTTATTGTGTTACGTAACAAATGTTATTTGAAGAAATTGAACTTTTTGTTTATAGACATTAAACAGCCTGATAATTGATATAAACTTGTAACCGACATAAAAGGTGCTTATGTACTATACTTAACAAGGAATAGCATAAATATACTGTGCGGAGAAGGTAACATACAAAAATGGCGACTAGTGCTGTTTATATTATATTTTTTCTTATTTCATTCTCATATTATGTTAATGGAGGAACTTATGGCATATTTTCCCCCGATCTACGACTGTCCGGATTTGTCATGGAGAAAATTGTCCCAATCGGAATGGAGATGTGCATCAGGGAGTGTTCGAAAAGAGTTTCTTGTGCCTCGTTAAATTTTCAGAGAAGTCTTTTAGAATGTGAACTGTCCTATAGCGACGAATCAGAGAGTCCCTCTGATCTGACGTCGGATGTGAAATACATCTACGTCAGTCGAAGCAATATTCCAGGGGTATCAGTCTAGATTTTTTTTAAAAACATTTCCTTTCTTATTTTAAATTCTTTAAACGACCTTTTTGGATAGGATAACCTTCAAAAATTATAAATTTTATGAAAATTTAAATCAATTATCTGTATCGTCGAAAAATTAGTACCAGTACATGTACATTATCTTGAAAACACAGACATCAAATTTTATATGTTAAAAAATGCATGTCTATTTCAAAAGATATGAAAAGTTTGTTGTTACGTAAATATTTTGTTTTTAAAGTATTAAAATTGTTTAAAAAGAATGCTTTTACTTTATGGAATAATTTTAAAAACGGCTTATCTCGGGAAACACTTTTTTTTAGTTTAAATTTAAAAGAAAGGATTTGAAGTTAGCTGCAGTATTTATACATAAAGGAACCAAAGTTTTGATATGTTACAAACCTAAATACATGTACATTTCTTTTTATTTCTGTCCTTTAGGAATACTCTGGGTCTTGTAATGCATCGTGCTCACTTCAAGAAAGATGTATTCCCGCGGCTTCTGGTCCAAAGTGCGTCAAATCAGGTTTGAAATCAGCATCTGAAAAATTTACAGTTTTGTTTTTGTTATTAATACTAGTAAGTTTTCGTTATTTTAGAATTTTTAATAATTGATAATCGATCTAACGGTTTTCGTTTTCGGTAATTTAATTGTATACCACACTGAAAAGTTAATTTCCAAAAAAAGTTTACACATAAGTTAAGTTTATATTTCTTAAAAATATAATTTTCCAAAAAATAAGGGGTACTTTTTAAACGATTTCTTGTAAACGAAAATTTGAATAACATTATTATAATATCGAATCATTTAAAATAAAATGCTGATGGTAAAGCTAATATAAATTGATTAGTTTATTGTTGTGAATGAATTAAGAATTTGGCTTTCGTAAAAACACTCTTCGAAAATTGATAAATAACATTTATTATCAATTCTTAAGACTGCCCTGACCTTCATCCCGACGCGACCTTAACTTCGGTCATGGTCACAGCCACAAAGATCGGAACTGTCCTTACCTACACCTGTAACTCTGACCCCTCAATAACCTTGACCTCTACCTGTAGGAGTAATGGGACCTGGTCATCGCCAGCCTATGTATGTGGACAACAATCTAACCCGCCAGGTATTTTAGTTCTATACATTCATTCTGGGATGATATATGGAAATAACGAACAGTTATCAAAATACAAATTAGGAGCAGAGCAAACACGGACCTCTAAAACACCAGAGGTGCATGGGATTAGGAGCCTAAAAGGAGTAAAAGTAGTAAGCATCCCCACTCATTGACAAAACATTAGCAAATGATCATACACTTCAGTTATTTCCACTCTCTCTTTCAGACTGCTTTAACACCACGACTTCTTGTTGGTACAAGTACAACTTTACACATGACACTGCCTGGAATGGATGTCCGGGTGGTCCGAGGTATGTCAAGAAAACGCAATATGTGTCCGCACCGTTGGTCGGTGTAGTACTCTGCAATTCTACAAGGTAAGAAAAATTTCTTCTTGCCAGAGTGAATGTCAGTTGAAGGAGGATAAATTAAACGATATGTGTTTTATTCATACATTGACTTTTGTTTTGTGCTTTATTTTTTTTCTTCTTTGTGTCGTTTATATGTCATGCTGGGTGCATGGGTGAATAAGAATCAAAATCGAAACATATACAAATGTAAACTGCTATTAACCTAAAATAGAAAAATGAATTATGTATTTGTACCTTATCAACAGGTACAAGATATTTCTGGGTATGAATTTGACCGACACATTTTTGAATGTTGGTGATGGCAGCGGTCATGGAGCGGATCATTGTGAACTGGTAGGGGGACTAGAAGCGGATGCCGTCCTGCCCGGGGACTATATGAGTTCCCCCACACTAACCGGTATGTTTAGAAAGGGTGTGCATTACCACCCTACGTATAGAATTCTAAGGGATATCCCTAAGAAAGGATAATTTTGAAAAATCCGGGAAAATGTGTCAGAATTTTTTTCTTTAACTTTATTAATTGCATAGTCGCAAACCATGGCCAAAATGTACAATCCTCTCTCATTCTGGAGAGCTTGAGACGATATTTTGTTTTGTTATAATATACAAAGTAATAGAAGCACATTTGACCTTTAATGAATGTTGACCTTGAGCCTGGAGTTACTTTTGTAAAACTTTATCAAATTTTGACCTTGGTTAACTTTTGAAAGGTTGTGGTTAACTTTTGAAAGCTTGGTGCAAAGGCTTTCTGAATACATACTTTACATGTGTATCTTTTTAAAAGACCTTTCCTTGAGTACCAACAGTTTAAACCATTTGACCTTAACCTTTGAGTTTGACCTTCGTTTGAAAAACTTTAACATATACTATAACTACTTACGTAATCTTAGAATTTCCATCTTTATTTTTAATTAAAAATATATGATTTTTTTTCAGGTTATGCCCGCAGTGAAGTAGGGGAGGAGTTCTATATGGACATTTTATCTGGGGACACCGGATGGTGGACTGACTCCTGGTACGAGTGTGGCGTACAGATTCCCGGCCCCCAGGAACCGCGTGAGCACAGTTTAATTATAGTAAAACTGGGTTATAACAAAGTCAGTTGGACATATGAGATTACTTCGCTATATCCGTATATGGAATTTTTTTATTTATATACCTGGGGATCCAAGATAACTTCGCTGTATCCGTGAATTCGCAATATCCATGTTTGTACTAAACGAGTTTTACTGTATCTAGAAGTTCTTTTTAGTTTCTAAACATCACTTTCTTGCAAGGTGAAAAAAATCCTTTTTGGTACACTAGTGTTAATATCGATTTTTGGTAATTGAATTTTTTGCATGATAGCATGCATGTCGGCCACGCCCCCTTGTTGGTATGCTTACGAGGTGTCCGTGGATGAGTCTTTCAATGGATGTAGCGGGGGAAAAACAGTGGTCAAGAAAACAAACTTCACCTCGGCTCCGTATCTCGCTGTAGTCTTGTGTAACAGTACAAGGTATGAATCAAATTAAATTCAAATTCAGTTACCGGGTTCCATATCGATATTAAGTGTGTCCTTTAATTAGTTATTACTGTGTCCTTCCAATTACTTTTTTCACTATTAGGTAAAAGTAAATAATAGTTAAAAAGACACTTAAAGAGTTTTAATCAGAATCACACTGCAGAAATATGTGAGTACAATAAAAAGTTCAATGTATTCGGACATGTAGCGGGTGGCTTATGGACATCTCATTAAGTATTCGCATTGGTGACTTTGTCTATCCAGGTTATATTTAGCGGGCAAAATATTTTCTTTGCTTTCATTTTATGTTTTGTGGCAAAGCAGTTCCTGCTACAAGTTATAACTAGTGTGCATTTTAGATACAAGTTTTTCCTTGGTGCAAACTTAACGACAACCTTCTTAAACATTGGAGACGGGAGCGGATCTGGAGAAGATCAATGTGAACTTGTAGGCGGATCTGAAACTTCTGCAGTAGTAGCGGGAGACTACCCATCTTCTCCGGCAGTCACAGGTAAATACCTATAACATTACTAAATACCTATAACATTACAAAATACCTATAAAATTACAAAATACCTATAACATTACAAAATACCTATAACATTACAAAATACCGATAACATTACAAAATACCGATAACATTATTGTTTTTTCAGCTAAAGGTCCTTCTTCTCCTTAAATAAGTAATATTCGCATGTTTTAACATGTAGAATTTTCTTTGACTTGAGCTATATTAGACCGAAATATCTGATGTTTTCCAGTTTTTGTTTTACTTTATACGATGTTGATATTTTACGTTCATGTTTTCTTGGCTCGTAAAATATCCTGAAAACGTCAGATATTTCAAACTAGAGCTATACAACTACATGAGAGAGAGAGAGAGAGAGAGAGAGAGAGAGAGAGAGAGAGAGAGAGAGAGATTGTCTAGTTATCCTATTAACCGATAAATCCGGATTGTAGGTTACTATCGGAGGTACGTGGGGGAGGAGTTTACTGTTGGGAACATTGGTTACATGCAGTCGTCCTATCATTTCAACACTTACATGGAGTGCGGAGTGGCCATTCCAGGAACAGACCTCGTCGTCTTCTAGTTGGATTGTCTTAAATCATGAACACCGGCAAAATTTCTCTTCGATCTTTCATATTCATAGTTTGCTCAAGGGCAGTTGTTTTTTCTGTGATCAAATTTCATTGTTTGAAGTTTTACATATATAGTGACAATTAAATGAGGATTGTATATTAATATAAACCTTTTTAAAAATTCTCTCTTTAGGAAATAGTGTTTTGTCTACTTGAGAATTGGGAGATTTGGGATTTTAAAGGGTACATTGTACATCATACAAATTGAGCCACAAAGAGGATGAAAAGAACAGTCTTAAAAAACGACCCAAGCGCCAAAAGCAGGGGAGTTAGAGTATTCCCAATTATTCTCTATTTGCTAAAAGTCAATGGCTATATATCAATAAAAACAATTGATATTTTATATTTTCAGAAATTCATGCAACTCTGCTCTTTAAGGTTCATAAACCCTCTGCTCACTCATATAAAATGTTGCTTGAACCGTAATGATTTTCCAAAAGAAATGTATTTTATAAGTAAAATACGAGCAATTATAGCATAGCTTGCAGGTCAAAATTGGACAAAAAAGATACAACTTGTGTTTTTAGTAATTCCGTCATAAAAATGGCAAAATGTTTAAAACTCAGATAGCCTTGTACATTATACAATCACAAGAATTTGCTATAAACATGGAAAACTGCCAATACACGTAATATTTATATATAAGAGTCATTTCTAATTTTTAACAAAAGAGAATCTACAACTTTGAGAATGAAATTATAATTTAAACACATTTTTTTCTTCCAAAATATTACTATGCACTTTCTTCAAAGGAATGGATAATTTACACGAATATATTACAGACATATAATGGTAACAAAAGTACTTTGAAATAGATTAATTAAACCTTATATATTTTTGGCAAAATAAATATCCTGAGAAGAATGAGCACCTTATTAGCTCACCTGAGCCGAAGGCTCAAGTGAGCTTTTCTGATCAAAATTTGTCCGTCGTCTGTCGTCGTCGTTGTCGTTGTCGTAAACTTTTCACATTTTCATCTTCTTCTCAAGAACCCCTGAGCCGATTTCAACCAAACTTGCCACAAAGTATCATTGGGTGAAGGGGATTCAAGTTTGTTCAAATGAAGGGCCACGCCCTTTTCCAAGGGGAGATAATTATAAATTAGAGAAAAATTAATGGCATTTCTTAAAAATCTTCTTCTCAAGAACCACTAGGCCAGGAAAGGTGAAACTCATGTGGAATCATCCTCAGGTAGTGTAGATTCAAGTTTGTACAAATCATGACCCCCAGGGGTAGGGTGGGGGCAAAATGGCCGATCAAATTTTTACATAGGAATATATAGGAAAAATCTTTAAAAATCTTCTTCTCCAGAACCACTGGGCCAGGAAAGATGAAACTCATATGGAATTATCTTCAGGTAGTGTAGATTCAAGTTTATTCAAATCATGACCCCCGGGGGTAGGTTGGGGCCAAAATGGCCGATCAAAGGTTTACATAGGTATATATAGGAAAAATCTTTAAAAATCTTTTTCTTAAGAACCACTGGGCCAGGAAAGATGAAACTCATGTGGAATCATCCTCAGGTAGTGTAGATTCACATTTGTTCAAATCATGACCCCCAGGGGTAGGGTGGGGCCAAAATGGCCTATCAAAGTTTTACATAGGAATGTATAGGAAAAATATTTAAAAATCTTCTTTTCCTGAATCACTGGGCCAGGAAAGATGAAACTCATATGGAATCATCCTCAGGTAGTGTAGATTCACGTTTGTTCAAATCATGACCCCCGGGGGTAGGGTGGGGCCAAAATGACTGATCAAAATTTAACATAGGAATATATAAGGCAACCTTTTAAAATTTTCTTTTCAAGTATTTCAGAGCCATGGTTAGTTAAATTTATATGGAAACATCCTCAGGTAGTGTAGATTCTAGTTCGTTCAAATTATGATCCCCTGGGGGATGCTGGGTTGTTAAAATTCAAGCCCCCCCCCCCCACCTCAGTAAACTTTCAGTTCTGATCTGATATGTGCTTTTTCCTAGCCGATGTGCTCAGGTGAGCGCTGTGGCCCCTGGGCCTCTTGTATTTTTTTTAACAAATTAACATCCCCCATGAGGTGTGAATTCATTAATAATTTAATTAATATGAAAATAATATAACTTTTGCAATTTCAGTCATAAAAATTTTCAATTTTTTACAAACGTATTATTTTATTAACAGTGATTTCTTCCACAATAATATATTAGGCCCAGAAAAAATGTATTCAACAATGAAACCTAAATGGCACCTTGCATCATCAACTAACACAAAAAGAAAAGGCGACATTTGATAGTCAAATGTGTTTTTCAGGTTCCACAAAAATAATACATAAATATTGCATGTAGTTGAGTGTAACATTGAAAATTTTCACCCCTCGAAAACCATTGTCAACCGAGGTGCAGCAAAGGTTGACAATGGTTTTCGAGGGGTGAAAATTTTCAATGTTACACTCAACTACATGCAATGTTTATTATATAATTATAGCCCTTTGACGAGGTCGATATATCTATGGATTGACCGAATTAAAGGGCTACATTTGTTATATTATTTTTTAACGGAGCTTGACAAAATCACCACAAGTTTTCTCTCTTGTTTTTTTTTAACACCGAGAGACTAGAGGTGAAACAAAATCTGTGAAATGTATGTTATTCTTTGTACCGATGGAGTAATTTAGGGGATTTCCTTTTTTAAACTTGAGGCTAATTTGTCTTATTACGTTTTGTATTGATTTTTGAAAAACATATCTATTTAGTTTTAACATAAAGTAGATTCTTCTTCAAGGCATCGTATGTCTTACTAATTAGTTACTAGTATTACAGAACATCACAATTATAAATAAGAGTTGAAGTACAATTTTCTTTTTAGAATAATCAAGTCATACTTTGTCTTAGCTGTTAAGAATTCGGCATAAAAGTTGTTTTATAGAAAATTATTTCCATTTTTAAAACCAATTAGTCGATATGCATTTAAGAATCTATACATAGTAACTCAAGTCTTTATGCTGTTATATAATTGATCATGTGATCAAGTTTGAGCCAATCAGAGAGCTTGGAATATTTGAAAAAAAAAAATGATATTATACTGAATGTTTTATACAAGTATTACAATATTTACATTTCCAGTAAATTTCCCCTATGATTCTTTACAAAATAAAATGCAGTATATTTTCTCATGAACTACATTAGGTATGTACCACGAATAAGCATGAATATCTCCATTGTTACGTCATAATACCGTCATCAGAAAAATACTGTAAATT